CTTTTTTTTTTTTTGTTGAATGATTTACAAAGCTTTACTCATAAAAAAAATTTTCGGTAATATGTTACTGAAAAGCTACTAACAACAATCATATATCATTTCCAGCAAAGTAAATCCTAAATACAATAGAAATTGTTGATTTATGATAAATCAAACTGAGATTTTAAAAAGAAGGAAAAAAGATGTTGCTGTAATATCAATCAAAACAGGATAAAACAAAACAAAACAAAACAGATAAACAATAGTTAGTTCACAATCATTTCTTTAATTTCTATATAAACATTCAGCAAAATGCTTCAATTTAACCATTTCATCTTCTTTGCGACATTTAAAAATGCTTAATTAAACTAATTTTTGATATGAAATGTTTTTTTTTTTTCTTTTTGCATCACATATACCAATGAATAATTTCTGAAAAATTTTCAAACAATTCCCATTTAGAAAATGAATGAAAACTTAATATAATCTTTTATTTTTTTCTTGTCTATTTTTTCTTCTTTATTATCATTGCTGCTCATTGTCATTTACCTTTGCAATTCATTCAAATGATTTGGTCGTACAATGATCGTACTGAGGAGATGATTTTCAAACAAAAATTGTCGTAATTTATTAATGAAATAATGAATGATAATGAAACATGCAAAATATTGAATCCATGCCCATTTCAAGAGTTCCAGAAGACCTGTTCGATAAAGCAGTTGTTGTTCAACAATCCGTATCGATAGATGTAGTACGAAGTTATTGTTGTCAGCTCGTTTAGGCATCCATGCAATTGATTTTCTTAAAAACACATAAGAAACGAAACTAAATTCGTAAGAAAAAAATGAAAACTTTTCAATTACTAATTACATAAGCCTTTCGCAAGCTCTTTGAAATTTTGCTAATTAGAACCACTAATTACATCACAATTTTAACCACTGTGGTTACTTCTCTTATTCAAATCGCATCTTCTCCTTCAATTATTGTCAATTACTGCATTGTTTACAATTTTCCTATTATTATTATTACTATTTATTATTATTTAAAGTTTTCGTAATTAAAAAAGAAATATGGAATTAAGCAACAACTAATTTAATATAGTACTTGATGTTCAAAGTGTAACAGCAGTAAATGCAATGAAAAGACTTTAGAAAAGATTCCGAAAACTAGATATGAAAAATTAACTACACTATCTCATTAAAACGTCCTACTTATCTGTACTTCTAAATTATTGCAAGTTAAATATAAGTACATTATAATGACCGCATTGTTTAAGAAAACAAAGGAAAAAAATAAAGGATTTTATGCACAACTTTTACATGTTGGCATCCAGTGATACTTTACTATTTTAAATTGGAGATTCACCTTATCTATCAAATTTGAGTAATAATAGATATATTTATACTAAAAGATTAGACTCTCCCCCGCAGAAGAAAAAATCCGGAACGCAAACATATTAATAAAAGTGAGGGGATGCCAGAAATTTATAATGAATGATGAAAAGATAATAATGCTTTATTTAATGGAAAAGAATAAGCAAAGTGAATGCACAGAATTGATAACTGCATCAAACGAATTTAAGTTTAGCTAACCTAAAAAGAACTTATTTTCATATTAACAACCTTATAATGAGATAGACGAAAAGAAAATGCAAAACAAAATGAGGAAATAAATTATAAGCAATTTACCTTCTCAAAGTTGTTGTGAAATTTCGAAAAGAATTACGTAAGAGAATTGTGGTAGGATTATACTGTGCTAAATCTAAACTTGATTCATTGATCAATGCTCCTCCATGATCTGGATCTCGGCCACTACTCCAAAGTGGAGCCGCTTGATCTAACCAAAGATCACCAGAAACTGTTAATGATGATGATTCAGTTGCATGATCCAAATCATCAAGAACTGCAGTTTCCATCTGTAATTTTTTTAAAGAAACTTTTGAAACTTCCTTAATTTTAAATCAAATTTGTAAAAAAGTCGCAGCCATATACTTTATGCCTTGTCAAATGCTAGAGGAATGAATATTTCGAAAGCTGGGCTTTTATTAGATGATGATTAAAAAATGACTATTTTAAGAAACTTTTCCATAGCTTTTTGCATAAAAAGGCTTTAATTTTAACTGTTAAGGAAACTAAAGCATATTTATCTTTAAAAACTGTTTATGAAGCAAAGAAAATATATACCGAAAAGCGTGACCTTTCATCAAGTTGATAATCAAATAAAAACATGTAAAAAACTCCAAAAACTTCATCTTTTCTTTCAATAGGAAATGTGACATTTAATTCAATCTAAAAAAAATTACAATCAAAAGAACGGAATGACAAAGTAATTGTTATTCATAACAATTATGAGCAATGCTCGATTCAAAGCAAAACTTTTCTGATAACTGATTTATGTAAGTAAGAAGAGTTACATTTAATTTTTCCCAATAAATAAATTTCATATTTTTGTATAAAAGTGAACTCGAATTTACCAAATCAGGTTTTCCATCATCATTAAAATCACTTTCATACTCTTCGATTACTGCTATCCGTATATGTGTTTCTTCAGCATGATTAAGCAGTGGATATGAACTCCACACGTAGTAATTATTTGGTGCTTTTCCTTTCAGTAATATGATAAATCGTTGTTTGTAATAAACTGCTGCTTGCTCTCGATATTCGCTAAATTTTTTCCAAAAACCCTGAAATTAGTCGATAAACTACAGATTCATCCATCTTTGCATAAATTCTGGGAATCATAAAGTGTTAAGGATTTTTGATTAAAAATTTTGAAAAGATTAATAAATATTACAACACAATAAACACCCATAATACTAAATGAATAACTTCCAGAAATCTTAATTTTGCTCACTGATTCCAAATAGGATGACAAAGTAATTAATAATAAAATTATCCTTTCCCGAGCAACCAATATCTTAAATTATTCGAAAAATAAAAATCACTTGTGCCGTGAATGCAACGAATAGTGTGAACAATAATGTGAATATAGAAAGGGTAACGCTACAGCAATATGCTGTTGTGTATTTTGAAGCTTTGTATTTCCATGTACAAGGCTGAAAAATTAATAATTACTGAGAAATTTTTTAAAATTCGCATTTCTAAGCTATTTGTTAAAGCAAGTTAATTTAATTTATTAATTCAAAATAATTTAAAATGTTTAAGTAGTTGCGCACAGGTAAACTATTACAAATACACTGCCAGCAAATGTGGAGAAATCTAAGCATACATACATAAGTATGATGCTGACAGCCTTTGGTTCTAAAATAAATTTAAAAAAATTAAATTAAATTAACCTTCTCATATAGTATTTTGTATTTCATTTATTTGACAGGAGTTGAGACGTACTTTTCGATATAACGCTTTGAAATGTTAACACTAGCAATGAAAACACAAATCCAAGATATGGAAGCAACGATAAATAAGAGCCAATTAACGATGCGGAAAGTTTGTTTTTTGCTATATACCATCAATTCTTCTACAAGTGCAAAAAATATTTCAATAATTAATAAAACTTAAATATTTTTTTTCTACATTATAAGATATAATTTAGAAATAATACATATATACCGACATTTCTTATTCGAGTGACTCACAAGAGTTGTGTGAACTTTTCACGACCAGCTTATGTCAAATCAATGAAATTCGAATATAAATTTAAAAGAAATAAGACTACTTAATTTAGCTTTAAGCAATAGTGAATTATTGTTAGCATTCTTGGGATAAGAGCAATAAATATTTGTTGCTATGGATACAAACGTCTCCAATCAATATGATGATGATATTTACATTTCTCACAGATTTCAAGAAAAACAAAGAACTAAACTGAAAAACTTTAAAGAACATACTTTTCAGTAAATATTCATTTGCCATTTTTGTTGTATGGAAAATGTCGGGAACTTCAATTCTGTTAGGTTCTACTAAAAGTATGGATACAAATGTATCTGTGGACACATAAATGAATATCTATGGAATCATATCACAGCTTCAGAACATAAATAATTCGGAATAAAAAATATGCAAAAAAAAAACATATACCTTGCGACCAATCTTCTTCTTTTTCAACAACTTTAAAAAAAAAAAAAACGTCCCGATCAGTATAGGAACAGGATCTTTTCACTTGAAATATTTTGTTGGCAAAAATAATTTATTTCCCTATGACAGACATACATATAATTAATGTTAAGTAATAAGATTGTACATGATAATAATAATAATAAAGAAAAATTTCAGAATTTCACTATTCAACTAATTTCACTGTTTCACTGTTCAACTAAAATTCACAATGTTGTAGTTAAACTATCATCAGAAGACAATAAAACAAAGGATGGATGAAATTCTTGGCTATTGTTATTAGGGATAGATTAGGATGATAGCGGATTTTTTTTTGACCGATATTAACTGATTTTTAACACCAAATCAACTGTCTCATTATTATTATTATCACAAGAAAGCCATCATACATCAAAAAACGAAAAACTTCATTCATCATTTCATATCAAGTTTGTGTTATAAAGTATAAATAATATTTCCGATCATGATTAAAGTGCCAAGAAAATCATATGAGAATTAATGTTAATTAGTATTATTAAATCAATATTAATTAATACGACCCGAAAAGCGAGAAACCGATATTATGAAAACCGAATGAATTAATAATATAAAAGAACTGATACAGTTAAGTTTAATAACTCGCCCTTAATTTGAGTATTGACAATTAGCATTTTCAGAAGATAATTTCAAAAGGAAAGAACATCCATGTTAAGCCTTGGGTCGATGCTAAATTGAATCTAGGAAAAATATGAACTGAATAAAAAGCATATGATTTATCATTCTACTAAAACATGAGTGCAACACATAATAAGTTGATAGTAAAGTTAGTAAACAATAAATATAGATGGAACTGAATTTGTTTCATAATTGATAAGATATATTACATGAATCGCTAACATGGTTAAGCTAAACATATTATTTCTTATCATTCACAAATTACCGTTTTAGAGGAGCTATGGAGAAAAAAAGTTAACAATCACCATGATTATGATTAAAAATACCTAATACTGAAAGCCGCTTAGATGGGCTTACTTCTCTCACTGTTTGCTGATTATCGGAAATATCGAGAATATTTGGTAGATGAATTCGAGAAGCTGATCGACTCTGTGTTCCTGTATTGCTCACATCAGAATGAATTGAATCCACAACTGCTGTGCTCCCTAATTCTTCCCTTAAATTTGCATCTTCCATTTGAACAAAAAAGAATGCTCCAAAAAAAGTTCAAATGATGAAAAGAAAAAAAAAACTATTTCGAGTAGTTTTGCGATAATTAAAAAAATGAACATTATACTTCCAACATAGGAACATTTTTTTCCCCTCTACTCAGTCTAAAAATATTTCTTACAACTAATAAAGCCTTCGTCATGACTTATATTTTGAATTTCGGAAACAAAATATTCATAAATATTAGCCAATGAGTATCTGAACGGAAGTTCTGATTAAAAATTTTGATTTTTTGAGAAAGGACACAAATAATTAAATTGCAAAATATAAAAATCTCATTAAATTTTATCTATTTTTAGTAATACATTTATCATAAAGATGATCTCGAATCAAATGTTACCGTAGATTTCATTCCGACATTTCTCATGAGTTAACAACATGCAGTAGTAAATATTACACAATATGATTTAAACTATGTTATATACGAGAAGAATGCAAAAGTATAAAAGCATACAATAATACATTAAATAACATGCAAGCTGCTTATTGTTTCACTAAATTTAAGCTATTACTGATTAATGGAAAAGAAAAAAATGAATAAAAAAATTAAAACAAATATAAATCATGAATCTTTTTGTTACACCTCATTCACAATTATAACAGTTATTGTTCCCATTATTTACATTTACAAACATTGATGGAATTTGAATTCCAATAAAGGTCAGAATTACTACAAAAAAAGCAAACCAAAATCAAGCAACTAGTCAAATCAAATAAATATATGGATAATATATTAAATAAAAATAAAATCAAAAGAAAAAAAAAATGAAAGGAATATATGCAAAAGATAGTAAAAAGCAAGCCTTTTAAAAATCCAACAATGTCACTCAAATCTAATCAAATTTCTTCTTTTTAAAGCCTTCATTTCTGGATTAAATATCAGAGATGTTAGAGCCATGCCAAATGTAATCAGCTTAAAAAGAATACAGCCAACATCACACACGATACCTTTTATATCGGTGCTGAAGGCCATATCGTTCTCGTCTCGTCATTACATTCATATTCTCATTTCTGACATTATCTTTTATTTTAAAAAAAAAATTGATGAAAAATTATGAAGATTTACTGATAATATTTGAACGTAGTTCGAGAATTAATTTCATAATTAATAAATAAGCTTTTCAAAAAAATTTTCTCCGAAAACTTTGATTCACTTAAAAAACTTTTTCAACTACAACTCAAAAATACTAAAAGCAATGCGTACTACAAGCCTGAGCAGCGTTAGTAAAAATATTTTAGAAAATTCTGAAAAATTGTGCACGACATCGTCGTGATATGCAAAAAATTTGGGAAAAATGGAAAAATACTAATGTACGGTAAATTTTTCAAAGAAAACAGTTTTTCATAGCTATTATCAATTTATCTCACATCTTGTTGCATTCCAATGGAAACGAAGAACAGTGCTAACGAAAAAATAAAATTAAGAAAAAATGGATGCCCTGAATACATTACTAATGTCAGCTGTAAACTTTGTTCAAATTTTGAACTATATACGAAACACTGATAATAAGTAAGAATGTTTACATAATTAACACAAGGCAGAAATATATCAGAGATTTCTATAAATCTTTTGTAGTTGATATTTGTATTAAGTGCCAAGTACTATTAATTGTTTCATTTCTTATAATTTTAAAACAATTCCACATTTGACAATTTCATGGAATTTCCAAAGTAAAAACAAAGAATAAAAAAGAAACCGACCGGGTTTGCAAAATGGATTCAGAATCCAACAAATTTTCATATGATCCACAAACACTTTCAGTGCTATCTCGTTCCGATGCAACTCCATCATCAAAATGAACGGATGGTACAGAAGAAGCAGGAAGTACATCATCTACTTCTGCAACATCCATACCAGAAAAACTTTCCAGTATCCACTTATGATCACCTTCCATTTCTGTCTAAATTTAATGCTATATTGCATACTGACTAAAAATTTCACTATATCTAATTAACAAATATAATCTGCAATTTGTACAGCATTCCTATTAATTCTTCTATACTGTGATAGAAAAAGAAACAGTAGATCAATGGGCAATAATAAATCTTTCCGTAAAATAATAATATTAAGGAAAAAAACACAATAATTGAAATAAATTTGATTTTAAATTCCAAGTCATCTACAGTCTTATTTCAGTTATTATTTATTGGCATTAAAAAAAAAAGAAAAGAAAAGAAAGCTATACTGCTTGCTTAAGAGAATTATAGACATTTCATTTGATTATATCTTCAATAGTGTGAATCAAAATTCTAACAAACTATGTTTGATGTGAATAAGATAAAATCTGATAAATACATTTATAAAAAGAGCGATCATGGAAAAGCTTGATGGACTGCTACTTCAATCTCTGCTTTATTTTCAAAACTGCTAATATCAATAAATAAATTTGCATTAAATCAAATTAACATTTGGGAGCATCTAAGATTTAGATTTAAGAAAAAAAGACCTGCATATCAAGCCGATCTTTTTGCTCTTGCATTGAACTTGGAGAAGTTGATATTGCCAAAACAGGAACTGGCGATATCAAAGAAGGAGTTTCAACATTATCTATAAACGTCATTGGTTTCCAAGTTCGAAGCGTTTCAATCAATAATTTCAGCAACGTCCAATCACCCAAATTCAGCTGCAGATTTAAAATTTAATTGTTAGAAGTTAGTCTTCACTTTTCTTTATCATTATAAACTGAACTTCACTTTTTTTATCATTATAAATTGAAGGGAAGAAAGAGAAAAGGGAGAAAATTCAAAAAATCCAATATGGATTTAAAAAGCAAATATCTGACAGTATCGAGTCACTTAGACTGAAACAATTATGTTTTGGAAAGTCATTTTTTAATTCGGTAGTTCCATTCCTAATTCGTTATAATGATAAGCTCTAGTATAATAAAGAATATATTTTCATTTATATTCTTTCACCTCTACCCCCATGACTTTCCAAGAAAACACTGCGAAACTATTTCGCTAAATTCTAAAAAACCTAACTTAGACGTAGAAATCTTCATAGAATTCTTTTGTAAACCTTAAATCAAAACAGATTATCAACATGGTTAACTAATTTTGAAGGTCACAGATTCTGAAACTTCAGTGGTCTTTGGTTTTAATCAAAAAATGGGGAAAAAATTTTTCGGATTGCTTTGAGCTGATTTGGAAAATTCAAGTAAAAAACCTTAAGAGTTTCTTGCACTTCCGATAAATCACACGCTGACAAAACAAGACCGGTAAGATTGGATGTATTCATTTTTTCAGCAATAACACTTATTCGTTCACTTGGAATATCTAATTTTTTCACCAAATCAATTATGTCTGACAACTTCATTTCAACAAGTGGTACTTCGATTCCTCGCCAAATGTTCTTATCCTAAAATTTAAACAAGCGGTACAAAAAACAAGAAAATTTGAGGAAAGTTAGACATAAACAAATACAAAATGAGATGTTAATACATCAATCGATGAAGCATTTTTCAAATAAAAAACACTTTCAAATTTACTATCCTAAAATTTAGACATGGCAAAATTTTTTAGACTGGAATTTTAGAAAACAAAATTTAAACTTAATAAAAAAACTATGAAAGAAATGAAAGAGGATATGTATATTGTAAATTGTAAATATGTAAATTACTTTAAACAGGTGCCAAGCAGGACCAGCAAGTATTAAACTAGATAGGTTAGACGATCGATTAACAAATGACTTAACTGGTTGTGCGGTACCAATACGACATTCTAAAAAGTGACATCACATTCTGCTAGTTTTATTCAAAATTATTTATTACTGATATACACGCCACACTTTTTTTTTTATTTTTGCAAAAAGCGAAATAAATTAAAAATTGATGGCAGAAAATTCTTCAAAAATAATTTTACCTCTGATAAGCTTTCTAAGATAAGGATCCAAATTAGATGTGCAGGGAACAAAACGACGAACATGCCCGACAGTCAACTGCTCCGGACCAATCATGGATGCTTGTTCCAGGAAAGATTCGAAATTGTCCGGATTTCGATCCAGATCTATTAGTGGATCCTTTGTCGGAATTTGTTGTTTCAGATGGTTGTAGAGCTGCAAAAGCTTACTGAGTGCACAAAACAAAAAACCAAAGGGAAAATTAAACAAGTGAGAATAAAAACCTGCGCAAGCGGATAAGAATCTTGTGGTATATCCAACGCACGATCAATAAGCCAACACATCCTGGATGGCCACTGCTCAATTAGGCTGACCCAATAACCAAGTGAAACCCATGAAAATTCAATTTCAAATGCACGCATTAATCTAGAAAGAGAACGAAATGGAAAAAGAAAAATACAATATGTAATTCAATTAAATTTTGATTTGGTAATACAATGAAAATGCAATGCAAATGAACAAACTATAAATTACTAACCATAATTTACTCAAGAAAATAGTAAATTAGATATATAGTATTTATCAAACTAGAAATTAGTTTTATTTACCGTCCTGTTAATGTAAGCGCGTTAACAATACGCTTCATTGACCGAGGATTCATATTGGAGAAATAATCATCCGCTATTAATGAACGACTTAATCCACGAGTTCCTACAACCGTTACCTTTCTTGATGATTTTCCTTCAAAACCTTCTCGCAAAGATACATAAGACCCTGAAAATTTTCTTCTTATAATTTTGAAACTCTAAAATGCACCAGATTTTGAAGTCACGTACAGTAAGAGAATCTTTATTAGGTTTCCAAAGGTATTATTTTGTATTTGACAGCGCATAAAATTGGTTTTACAAAGTAGATTTCGAAGTGCAGAAATATTGACCATGAAAAGTTTCTTGCCGTTTGAATCTTTCTTTCCAATCAGCTAAGCTTTCTCTTTTGTTATGTAAATTTGTTTGAAGTTGTCGGATAGCAGAATTATGCAAATAAAATGGCATGTTGATAATGTTCTGAAAGCGGTGAAGCAATTTTGATATGAATTACTTAAAAGATTTAAAACATTAAAAGACATTTTACAAAAATCCATCAATCAGATATCGCCTCAATTCCTTTCCAGAATTATTCTCATCTCTACTTCTTTCTTCATACTTTCAATATTACATGCTTCTTACCTACAACTTCATTTGGTTGAATTATTTCAAAAAATATTTCTAAATCTTTCCATACCTATGTGACAAATTTAAACTTTTGAAAGTTTACTCATTCTCGTATTCACTCATTGTTTTTTGAAACTGCCTCAAAACATTTCGGAAAGTTCCCGACTTGTTGCAAACTTCACATACTGAAATATCAACAACCTTGAGATAATCATGTCCAGTAAGCCCAGTTCCTGCTAATGCAGAGTGCATGCTATGATTTACAGCTGAAATAATAATATGCGGATCAACAGCAATAGTTACTACAAATGGCCGATCAGCATGAGTGCAAAATAATAGCTCCAGCGCATCTAATGTTTGTACCATACGTTCCTAAAATGATATATCTTCTAGAAAAGAAAAAAAATTAATTTGATTTTATCTTTTTTAACCGTCAACAAATCTTTAATTCCTTCCATGAATAGAGAAAAAAGATGGAAGGAGAAGAAAAGGCGCTAATATAATAGGCATAGAACAAGAGAACTATAACGAAAGCTTATCACGATAGCATTATAGTCAGCAGTAATCAACAGCGCTAACAGTTTCACTGGAAATGGAATTCCAGAAAACTGATCTAGTCGAATTGAACACATGGAAAATTTTTTTAAACATTATTTGATCATAACATGCAGTGATGTGAAATAACTGTAAAAGTCACCTGTTCACAATTATCAAGACCATCAACTACAACAATTAGTCGAGTTTGACTATTAGTGAAGAAATCAAGTGAGCGAATCATATTGGCCAAAAGATTCACCTAGGAAAATTTTTTTAAACTTGCATTTTTTGAAAAGTATATTAGCACCAATTGATATCTGATATTTGTTTTCACTGAAAACGTTGATCTGATTTCTCTCAATAAAAAAAAAAAAAAAAAACTGCTAAAAGCTAAGCGAGAAATACAATAAAACCAAAGTATTGCAATGCAAATTAAAGTTAAAAAGAAAAACAAATGAAAAAGATAAATATGAATGAGAAGGGCTCAAAAGGCTCCAACTTGTCATAAGACTGTGAAATAATGCTTTAAAATTGCAGAAGAATAAGAGAAAAATCTTACTTCATGTTGCAATTTTTGCATAAATCCTTCAAAACGCAATTTATTGATTTTCCGTGCCGCAATATTTATGCGTCTCTTTGGCATATTAACAAATCCATACACAAAAAGAAGATAAAGTGGATATAAAGTAAGCACTACTGCAGCAATGAAGAACAACACAGACCCAAATAAATAACTGTAACTTATATTTAAATAATAAATGCTGGTTTTTTTACTCATATCACATCATAAATAGAGTAATTAATGCCGCTACAGCTATAAGAAATTTAATTCACATAACATAGGAAAACTCGCCGAATAAAATGTGATTTTAGATTAGAACATAACAAATCAGCGATGATCCAAATTTTTTTTTTAAATCATTCTTCGAATAAAGGAATAACTATCATAAATCATTATGCACAATTACCAAAATGAACTGTCTCTGCTAGAAATCTATGTATCATTGTAAACGGTAAAAAAAAAAAAGTTATCAAAATAATGCCAAGTGATACTGAACCTAGAGTGAAGATTCATTCCATTGTAAAGCCATAATGAAAGCAGAATTAAAGCTGTACTGATTGAAAACAACAACAATAACACCATTACAGTAATTGGTACACCACATGCTCGTCGTGTTTTTGGTTTATTGCCTCGAGCTAAATTACAGGAATTTCCTTACCATATGGATGAATTCTAAATTATTAATAAATGTTGAAAGAAATTGTTTGATTATATGCAATCGAACGACAGAACGGAATGACGGAAGCAACAAATTCTTGCAGTAAATATTTGTCCTAATGATTAGTGAATCAAAATCATTACACTATTTCTAAGACTTCGAAAATAATTGAAGCCCTACAATAAAATGAATATTAAATCTTTAAAGACAGTTAGCTTGCAAAAAGTGAAGCAATATGAAGCAAACTTACCAAATGAGACTTTTAAAGCACAAAAGAGGCGTACCGGAAGTGAACCAAAGTGGTTTTCAGCAGCTTCAAACAATGTAGCAACGATTTTTGCTAGCGCCTGCTCACCACCAACTGATGATAAACGATGATAATCAGCAAATAAGAAACTAAAAGTGAGTTTTTCAAGTAATAGAGTTTTGCTAAAATAAAGGGATTATCTAGAAATTGCTTTATTCGCTGATATTAATTAGAAAGATTAACTGTCAAATATTTTACACTGCTACATTACTATGATTTAGGAAGGCATTCCAAACTTCACTACAATAAGCAAAGACGTTAACAAGTAGCTAAAAGACACAGACAAATTAGCATAATACAAAGTTGTGAATACTACAAAAAGACAATGCAAGCAATCACTTTTCGGCATATGAACTGTTTCAAAACTCACTGAATTGGAAGCTGAGTAAAATTAAATACTTTAGTCGGCATTTACACGTTTCAATTACTTGTTGTAAGTGTACAATTTTCAACTGTTATAAAAGATAGGAATGAAAGAGTCAATATACATAATAAATCGGTATCTACCTTACAGGACAGGAAAGGAGATCCTTATCTCGGACTGACGCACTATGTTGCAGTGCAACATTTGACAGTAAACGCATATGTGCTAAAAATTTAGCAATCGAACGTGCAACTTTTATGGATTTGTTCCATCCTTTAACGCTGTTACCATAATAAATCAAACCTGAAAAAATAATTAGACAAAAAACTAAGAAACAAACTACAATATATTTCAATAAGAGAAAACGGCAAGCGCGAAACGTAACTATTATAAAAACCACACTGTAAGAGTTCTTGTAATTCGACATGAGTCAAACCAAAGAAAATTAATAAATTTTAAATATAAAAAAGAAACTTCAGAAATCTGAATTCTGTTCATCCCTTGAATTCATTTGGAAATTTTGGAAATATAATTTCGAAAAAGTAACGAACTGACCGTATAGAAGTAACCACATAATGAAGAAGATCAAGCCACAAGTACCAACAATAATAATATAATGAAAGTTTTGAAGAAAAGTAACAGCAGTGGTACTGATAAGTGTAAACATCGCAATAAGAACAGCTACCGAGAATATCAATGACCACGACCATGAAAGCTGTACTGCATCGAGCCAAGATCTTGAAAACGATCGCATTGAATTTTTCATTTTGTCAAGAAGTACTGACTTGCCTGAACCCCACTTTGCATAGAGTCCTGAAAAAAAAAACATTTTTCGTATAAAATTGAAATACGATCAATTTAAAATTTAAAAATCTAAAATCGCAATTAGAAAAACTGTAATATAAGAATTCAGGACCAAAAAAAAAACGAAAAAAAAAAACAAAAAACAAAACCAAAAAGCAAAACTAATCCTGAGCATCTGTTATTTCATAATTTTAATTAAACTTTGTTAAGGAAGCTAAAAAATACCCACATGTCATTAAAATAAGAAAGTTGTGTACTTAGTAATGTCTTAAAATTTTTAAAAGGCTCATGGTAATTATATATGAATTGGTCATTGTTAACTATTCAATTCAATTAGGAAAAATTAGTAGCTTACCGATAGTCAACGGCAATGTTAGGTTTGGTTCGCACACAATATCAGCTAGTACATTGCTGTAAATATCATAACCAAGCATAGCATCCACCTGCACTTCGGCATCCAGTGGTCCATAAATTAAAGGGATAATTGGCTGTGGATTTTCCTGATCAATTGAATACGGCGTATGACCAAGTTTGTTTGGTCTGTATAATAAGCGTGAATCCGATGGATTCAATAGGAGGGATTGTGTTATTTTTCGCGATCTTGCCCGTAACGCCACATGTAATACATTGTCACCGGCGTTATCTGTTGCCGAAACTTTTGCACCCGAATTCACCAGTAATTGGCAGAAACCGACATGTCGATTTTTTACAGCACGTAATAATGGCGTATCACCGTCCTACAAAAAAAGATTAATTTTTAAGTCAAATAATCAATACAATATGATGAAAAGGAGAAATTAATAAGTAGAATTGATGAGGAACGATTCAAGCTAGTTGTTAAATGTTTGGGTAATCTTACTATGGTTACAGTAAAAATAAGAAGTCTTCTGCTCAGATGGTCCAGAATATCAACACATATGAAGAGAATTTTTTTTTTTTTGACTAGTTTTTCACAATGAAACAAAGTAGCACCTAATGCCTTATATGTGATCAATGACTAGCATTTCGAATAATTCCATACAATATGGTAATTAAATTAAGAAGCATCATTCTGCTAAACATAATTGTCATTCAAAATATAATAAACATCATATTTCTACTGCTAAAAATGAGTACTTCTAAATGAAACCTTATTCCTTATTTCCAGGTTTGGCTTCCTCTCCAATAAAGCAACTGCAATATCCATGAATGACTTATCTATAGCCAAATGAAGAGCTGTTCTATTCTCCTGAAAATTTAGTTTTTTTTTTTTTTAAAGCAATGGGTGTGACATATTGATTAAATATTTTGAGCTGTTTAAAAGTATGACTAAAGCATATCTGAGTTATGATTGCGTCTAATTAGTGATTTCAAGAGCCATTCAAATTTTAAAAAAATGAACATTCCCATCGGAACAATCCATTAGGCAAAAATATTAACATACAGAATCTCTCGCATTGACATCGGCATGTTTTTCAAGAAGCATTTTCACAATTTCTACATTTCCTGATCGTACAGCACCTGCCAAAATTGAATTTCCAAACTAAAAAGGGACATCGTTTCGAAGAAAAAGAATTGAAACATAAGACAAAATTGCAGGAAAACATGAACAACGAAAATCCAACTGTACCCTATCTACTGCATTCACATATGCTCCAAGCTGGATGAACATCGATGCAATTTCTACATAGCCTTCACGTGCTGCAATAGCAAGTGGTGAAAGGCCATTCTGCAAGATAAGGATTTATACAACATACCAGTCGAATTTAAACTGACTATAAAATTTACTATAAAGACGACACATGACCAGAAAACATGCGCAGTTGATTTGTAGAGGCTGTTGCTAAAAAAAAAAAATAAATAAATAGAAATAAAGACAGAATACAGACCTGATCGACGGTGTTAATGTTTGGCTCCCTTGACAGTATCAATTTAACAACACCGATGAAATTACCCCGCGTTGCCATCATTAAAGCAGTCGATCCATACTACAAATAAGAGCATATAAACTTCTTAAAATGTGAATTAGAATCATTTTGTCCAAGTTTTGTCAAATTTTAAACCAAAACAAAAAGTGAAACTAAATACCATCCCAACAGCATCTAATTCAGCTCCAGCATCAAGCAATAGCTCGATTATAGGCTTGTAACCTCTTCTTGCAGCCCAAATTAAAGCTGTACTTCCGAATTTATCACATGCATTTACCTGAAAAACCATAGAATTCATTCTTAGCAAAAATTTTTGAAGAGTTTTATCAGTTTTTTTAAGCCTGCAAGAATATTTTGCGCACAATGTACCAATTTTTAAATATAAAACTCACTTCTGCACCAGCTCCAATGAGTAATTCCACAAAAGCTACGTAGCCACGTCCAGCAGCAACAATAAGCGGTGTTAAGCTGTCTTCTTCATCAATAATGTTAACATGAGCCTTGAATTGGATCAGAAGCTGTGCACATGCATAATGATTCTTGTACACAGCCCACATTAGTGGACTCCAACCCAGCTGGAATATGGGGAACTTATTACTTTTACTTAAATAATATTTGCAATTTAATTTATATAATTTATCCAGTAATTTTTTGGACTTTACGAAAAAAATGTAAATTTTCGGTTAAGTACTTACCATATCAGGATAATCGACAGCTGCTCCAGCTTCCAATAAAATTTTCACAATTTCCTCATGTCCCATATAGGCTGCATCAAGTAGTGCAGTCCAACCATCCTTAAAAACTAAATTCATTTCATATATACAAGCATACGCAACAATCGCAATACTGGAGAAATATGAATGAACGACATAAAAACAACAACATAAAAAAGATCTAAACCAATTAATCAACTACTTAGAGAAAACAAAAAAAAAGGAAAACATAGTTTTTATAAACTGACAGTGCCGCTGAGCAAATAAAACAGATGAAAACCTTTACTTCACAAGCAAAATTCATTTATTCTATTAATCAATTAATAGAATAAATTCTATCACTCAACTAATAGAATAAATGATTTTTTTTTTTTTTTTTTTTTTTGTTAGATATTTTACTGCTAATTCACCCTATTCTAGCCCTATCTACCCAACTCTTTGTCCGATTTATTTTACATTATTTGTTCGTCCAAACAACTTTAAAATCTGACGGACAACCATTTACTGGCTATATACTAGCTATTTCAGTGATGTTTTTATTCTAAGACACATTCTCAATTTTTGTTGAAAATTAATATAATATTCTAAAAAGCATACAGCATCTGTATCCTCTAAATCGAAATCACTGATGAATTCTCGTACAATGTCTGTTTGTCCGGTTCTGGCTGCAACTATGAGAACATTTTCATTATCCTGCAATAAAAAATTAAAAATTTCAATTCACTAGAAATTTATATATTTTTCATCATAATAAACTGATATTGTCCTATTAAAATAACAAAAAATAAAACACTTCATTTCTCATCCGGAAACATCAATATTATCAATGTTGTTTTTAATAAATGATTCCTTTCTAAAAGATTTAATGATAGAAGTATGAATATACTGCATTTCTCAGAGTAGTGAAGTCTTGTTTTGGAAAGTTAGCACTTCGAAATTGACCATTCTCCAATAACGCAAACAATTCATCCGTTTTTGGATCAGCAGCCATGCGCCTAAGATTTATAATACGTAAAGTCTGAAAGAATCTCTAAAAAAGGAAAAGTGATATGAGTATTTGATTACTTAATAATAACAGAGATATGGGATGCAATTTTCTTATTTCTATCAAAAATTTTCAGAGTTGAATAGAGAATTTATCACACTGTCTTTCTTCAGTACTCTGCACTGTCCAAAAAAGAAAAGGCATGCAGGCTAACAATGAAAGTTTTAAGAATGCTTGAATTTCTAGTGACAGTACTACAGTTTATGCTTTCAAACTTTTCTGCACTTTTATAATACTGATAATTTAAGCATTCTTAGTCATCAGTCTGTTAAATCTCAGGAAATATTACGCTCAATATATTAAGCCTATTTAGGAAGCAATAAAAGTGTGAATGCATGGGAGTAAAAATCTCCAAGTAACCATTTAGACAGCTTAGTTGTCTTAAAATCATTTCGATAACACTTTTATCCAGAAAACAGCAGAAGATATTTTATTACCTATCATATGGTTGATTCCAGTAAAATTACAATGAAAACATACATTACATATATAATAAACTAATGAATACCCTCAATCAATTTATTTTGATGCCGTTGTTCACTGTCAAATAAGAGTGACATACTTATTCAACAAATCTTTTCTCTTTCTTGTTCCTTTTCAAAAAGTTTTATTTCGATTGTGTTTTTTAGCACATACAATTCTTTATTTGTTGATTTGAAACATTTCAGATATTATCTTTTCGTTTTTTTTTTTTTTTTTTTTTTGGTGAGATATTTTAACTCCATTAATTTGAGAAGTTAAACATTTTCTTATTTTCTGCATAACTATTCTAGGTGTTAAAACTTACGATGCATAATGTGAAGGAACTTTGTTCGCTGTTCTGAAACAGTTTGTAAAAAAAAAGGATAGCTCCAATAATTCGATTACTTTTGTTCATCGGAATCATAAATATATTACATTATGAAGAAATACAGTAGCATAAACAGAAGTATGAATATTCTAGATCCCAGAAAACAACAAAATCCATAACAACTATTTCAATACACATTATTACCCTATTAACTTAATGATTCTGTTACTTCACCAAAATACACCTACACAACAATTTTCAAATTTATACTAAAACATTAACTTGAAACAAATTAATGGTAACTGAACTGGCTTAATAATCTAAGAGTAATAAAAGTTCTTTTTACATCGACAGTTGTGAGATAATCCACGAAGTGCACATAATCTTTCCGAAAACTTGGCTTTTTTTTGTCATTAATTTCCGATGTCCGTGATAAACCCATGTCATAATAAGCCAAACAAAATAATTTTTAAAAATAAAAAAAAAAATAATTACAAAGCAGCAACATATGTACAATATTCGATAAAACATGAAACTTAAACGTCTATTTATTCTTTAATAAAAAGACCAATAAAGTTTAAAAAATATTTTCTCATTAAAAAAAAAAAAAAAGAAAAAATGATATCGAGAAAAAAAAACGAAAACCTAAGCCGAATTAACTAGAAATATCAAAGATTTCCTAACCATTTTATAATGAACTGCCAAAAGAACAATATTTGCAAACATTTACATTAATAGAAGCATTCACTTAAATGTTTCAAACTATATTTGTTAAAACTCGAACTAACACTATTAGATTTAATATAAAATTTCCAGAAATGTGAGTCTCTTTCAAATTTCTCAAAATTCTTGCTTCGAGTAGAAATAAATCATTTATGAATAGCAGTATCACAGCATTATCACCAACACATACTTCTAATACCTAAGATGCGGCTTGTTTTTAATGATATATCGATCAAGTGCTTCCCAGAAACGAGCTAATATAGCACGATCCAGGTGTCGCTTTGTTCGCGACAGCTTTAGAACATTGACACTCCACTTAGCTACGTTATTGTCCATTTTCTGATCATCGTACATCAAATGAAAAGCTGCTACATTTGCAAATATATCTGTAGGATTACCGCCCCATCTCCAGCCTTTGAACTGCCATGCCGGCCCCTAAAATCAAACTCTATCGCAGTTTTTCTCCTAGCAGTCAATAAGCAATTATCCGCTATCTCAGTTATGATAAATTTTGTTATAAATATGCCTAATAAAGTATATACACTTTTTTTTCTATCATCCTGATGATCGTACCAGCTCAATTTTTAACTTCAACGATGTAGATGAATATTCCAAAAAATAAATAAATGAAACAAAATGAAATAAAAGTTGCAAGGGAAAATATCCTACACTTGAGTTCGATAAGTAAGGTGAAACGATGCAACCACAAAAGTACCTGAACAAAAACAGCAACAACACGACTCCATTCATCGTCACCAAACTTCAAAGGATTTTCAACAACTCTATACGGAACTGTAACGCCGTCATGCTTTAACCTTTGTATCAAGACTTCATTTTCCCTTCGACAGGTTGTCTTTCGCTCTTCTGTGGTAATGAAACGCATATCCTAAATTAAAAAGCCAGTTTTAATTTCGCATTGCCTGTCGATTTCAAACAGGAAGTTATGACATAAGATGAATTGCATACACGCAAAAGCATGCTCAATGTTTTAGTAAAATAAATGAGCTGTCTGTAATAAAAGCTGTATAGCTTCATTCATAAATTCAAAATTAAAAAAAATAAAACCTGTAATATGTCGCGAACATTAAACATGGTAATCAGCGAAGTGCCAGCTGCTGGAATGATAATAATTGGAGTCCGCGACTGCCGCTTCTGATGTCGCTGATTACTACTGTCTATACTAGGTGTCAGGGCTTTCGCGGGTATTGACGATTCTACTACCATTGGTTTCGCTCCAGAAGCAGACATTATCGATGTTCCTAAAAAATTGGAGACTTAGACCTCAATTTAATAAATTTCATGCTTGTGTTCTTTTTAAGTAAGCTTTGTGATGATTTCTAGGTTTAAAACGAAATTCGAAATAGCTGGAAGCTGCTTCTATAAACTCGAATATAAAACCTTGGAAAGTAAGTCCGGTCTCGATCTTGAAACCAGCAGTTTGGTCTTTGTTAAATTTTTCTTGATCATAACGTGAATAGCCAGCAGGTTGTGGTTTGGCCCGATCATTCAATGTTGTTCTTGGCGGAGGTGCTGCCGATTTCTGACGCTGTGCTGCCTCTTCTCGCAGCTATAAATTTGTGGAAAGAAATGAAGTTTAATTTCACTAAGATCTACCAAAAAATGCTACACCATAAGTAAAAAAAAAAAAAAAATTGTTTGGATTCACATACCTTAAAACTATGCAAAATAGAGAGGATTGATGTGAATTCTTTAGATGCTGCTTCCATAACGCTTGTTCGATTCCTCCACACCCGTTCTTTGCCTTTTAGTTCTCGGTCCACAGCATCTTCACTTATATCAGGCACGTCTAAATCCATCGGAGCACCAAATCTGGATAACTTCTAGGCTATAGAAGGGTAGACTTGCAAATGACAACTTCGAAGCTTCATCCATTTAACAAGCAAATTAAGCAATAAATTTAAGATGTTAAATAAAGAACAAAAGACAGCTATTGAATAGAACTTTAAGATCTCAGCAAACTTAAGAAGTCAAAAAGTCCACATAAGAAAAAGATCAATTGTTAAAAGTATCAACCAAATTTACCTGTCGTCTACGGATTTGATTGTATTTCTTGCCATGTTTTTTTTCCGTTTGTTTTTCAAAGCAGCAATTTTGTCAGCTGTAAGTTTGTCACTAAGATCTCTCACCCCTTCCACATCATCAGTCTTGTTATCTTCTGTCACTGTACCTTTCAACAGGTTTTGTATTCGTTGCCTAGAAATTGTATTTGCTGGTACAAATAAAACAGCCAGATCGAATTTCCATTTATGCAGTGAATTTGAAAATTTTATAATTAACTTCTACACCAACCGATTTTCTTCACCGTCATAACGTGCTTTTTTCACTTCTGGTTCATTTTGATCAATAAGTCGAGAAACAGGGATTGGTGCTGGAATAGGTGCCAGCAAGTCCACTGTTTGCGGTGGTTGTTCACGTTCACCTTTGAGATATGCCAAAAGTTCACGTCTAAATTCAAGGAAAAATAAAGCTTTAGTCCATATAAGGTTTAGAGATAATTTTAAAGACGAAAATTCAAGCAAATTTTAGAAGATCAAAGCAGGAATTTTCGGACTGTTTAGAAATAAAAAACAAGGAGATTTAAAAACTTTAGAAATAAAATTTCAAAATCTCTAAGATGACTCGTAAATTTGATTTGTCTTAAGAGAAACAAAAAGATAAGAGGAATAGAAAAATAGTTTTGGAAAAGATTTCGAAAAAAAAAAAAGGAATACACAAATTTGATCATAGATGCAACACTTGGACTTAATGAAAACTTATTTTTCAGAAAGAAAAAGACATTTATTTACTTATTACACGAAGCCCAAAAAAGATATACCTATCAGGCCTAGTAACACATTGTATTCCTTTGCCGGAAGCATCTTTGACATAAGCAGTATGTTGCATTTCTCGATTTTCCCATAATAACAATAACGACTCCAGAGTATAATACTCATTCTGTCTACCATATACCATTAGATTTGTCCTTACATCACGTCGATATGCTGCATCACCGAATACATAATAACGCTGATTGCCCTGAAATTATATATTTTTTATATACATTATGAAAATTAACTGACAAGAACTGTTGATATTAAGTTATTATCACCATTATATTCTGCATTTCTTAGCATGCACCAAAGGACAAAACTTTAATTCTCAATACTATTTTAACAAATGAGGAAACATGATAAACGAAAAACGAACATTTTTAATTTCTCGCATAGTACGTCGGCCTATAGCATATTCATGTAGCAATTTCAATGGATCAGCCATTATTAACAGCAAAATTGGAATTAAACTGACGTGACGACAACACGTACGTTACGCTACCGTCCACTCAACTATGTGGAATAAAAAGCGGCTCCACTATGGTACACTATGCAAACGATATCTTAATAGCCATAGATAACTTAGAAACTGGGAATTAATTTTTTAATTAGTAACGTGGATGAAGTTAAATGTTCTTTTAGCATATTAATATATATAAGTAAGTAACATTTTCTGTTTGAAACCATATATTCATTGTTAACTAATTATCACAAAAATTTCATTTTTAGTAAAATATTTAATATATATATATATATAGTAACTCATCAAAAAAAAAAAAGAAAATTAGAACTTAATTAATTAATTTATATGCATTGTACGGGAACTAGTCATATACGGTATGGTCATTTGACAGCTTAGATAATAAACCTTAGGCTTAAACTTAGGCTTAAATGACTGCACCTCAGTCATTTTTTTAAATCAATTATTATTCTTTGCAAAAAATACAATTTGTAAAAATTTTTGTGGATTAAACTAGAAAAAAATTTGGAGTATCATCAAAGTTAATTTTAATTAAGTGTTGAAATTTTTGAGGATTAGTAATTCATTAAAAAAAAATATAGAAAATTAGAACTTAATTGATTATTTTATATGCTTTGTACGGCAAGTGGTCACATACAGTGTGGTCACTTGACAGCTCAAAATATGAAAATAAACTTTAATAATTAGGTTTTGAGCAGGATTTCAGCGAATTAATAAAATTTTTAATTGGTCATAGTTTTAATTCATTTTTGAAATTAAAATTAGTTTTTATTTCGAATTTAAATATTGATTTCTATGAAAATCATACAATTTGTAGAAATTTTTGTAGATTAAACTAGAAAAAAATTTTTAGTGTTATCAAAGTTAATTTTAATTAAGTATTAAAGCATTTAAGGAATAGTAATTCATAAAAAAAATAGATGATTAGAGGAAACTGGTCATACACGATGTGGTTATTTGATAGCTTAAATTTTGACAACTTAAATAATAAATCTTAGGCCCAGGCTTAGGCTTAGGCTTAAACTTAGGCCTAAATGACCGCACCTGTCAAATCACAGTCAAGTGACCACACCGTAATTTTCTATTTTTTTAAATGAATTACTATCCTTTGAAAGTTTTAACATTTAATTAAAATGAAATTTGGTAAGGCTAAATACTATTTTCTAGTCTAATGCATAAAAGTTTTTGCAAATTGTAAAATTTTCATAAAAATCGATATTTAAACTTGAAACAAAACCTAAGCTCGAGCTTAAGGCTAAGCCCAAGTCGAAGTCTAAATCTGAGTCTAACCCTAAACTTAAGTCTGAGTTTAAGCCCAAATCTAAGCCTAAGCGTATACCTAAGCGTAAGCCTAAGTTGTCAAATAGCCACATCGTATGACCAGTTTCTTCTAATTATCTGTTTTTTTTTTTTATGAATTACTATTCCTTAAATGCTTTAACACTTAATTAAAATTAATTTTGATAACACTAAAAATTTTTTTCGCAAATTGTATGATCTTCATAAAAATCAATATTTAAATTCGAAATTAGGTGGTCATTTGACAGGTGCGGTTATTCAAGCCTAAGTTTAAGCCTAAGCTTAAGCCTTAGCCTAGGGTTTATTATTTAAGTTGTCAAATGACCACACCTATATGACCAGTTCCTATATAATGCACACAAATTAATTAACTAAGTTCTAATTTTCTATTTTTTTTAATGCATTACTATATTTATATTTATATTTAATAAAAACAATATATTCAATAAAAAAAGAGATTATGCCGACGTTTTATTTGTGCTATTCATAGTTGGTAGCACTGTACATTTCATAATTAATTTCTGGTAAAAATTCAATCATATTTTAATATTACACTTTATATATATGTTTTAACAAAAACTTAAACTTTAGTTTACTTAAAAATGAAACTTTAATTAAATTTAACATTTCAGCAATTATTCGACTTTGATATTTTAGAAAAAAGGATAGAAAAAGAAAAATATTTTGAATCATTGTTTTTAATGTTTTTTAATTTTTGAAGGTATGAATGATTATAATTCTCTTCTATTGATAACTATTAAATTAATATTAAAATAAGTATTACGATTATTGCGATTTCTACTTTGATCAATAAAATAGATAAAGCTATTTACTTCTTTCATTGTGCCGTACCATACATATTTACTACCACCTATCTCATCAATTACTTTTACTTTTAAGTTTGCTAATTGTATGGTAAATTCGATCGAGCTAATTTCATCTGTAAGAGATTTATGTCAAAGAAAGATTAGTTTCATTTCTTAATTAACTGCACTGATTCTTCCGTTGAATAATTCGATATAACTCAACGAGTTTAGTGGTAATAACTATGTTGAATTTTTGATCAAAATTGATTTGAGTTGCAAATTTTTGAAAATTTGAACTTTATTTCTATTTCTAAATTTGTGCTACATTTTATAATCAGAAGCATTCAAGTCGAACTTAACTCACAAACCTCTATTTTACCACAATTATACGCACATTATATCACGCCTCACTTATCTGTCGACATGTGATCCTGGCAAAAATGACAATGCTACATCCTCCCTTATTACAATCTTTAATTTGTTTACTCTGAATTCCACATCAAATTTCATTAATTCAATACCATGAAAATCTTTTTATTCTTTCCTGTAACTAATCTGACCCTTTCTCACACGGTAAAATTATCCTTAGGCTATCCTTAATGTTTTATCCTAAAACAATCCACTTATTCAAATTGCTATAAGTGCGAAAATTGTGAAAGATTATATATTCTGCATTTAAGCCAGTTTTAATCATTCATTGGCATAGTAAAAAAATAACGATATGTTTTTCTTTTCGCATTTTTTTTTTACTTTTCACTGAGTTGAACGCAAGATAAGGTGAAATGGAGAAAGAAAAAGTAACAAAGAATTATTAAAAAGTACAAAATCAGTAGTATAATAGCATAAAAACAACTAATAAAGTTTTCATCAACAAAAGTTTGCCATATTCATAGTATTTTCCCTCCTCATATTGTCAACAATTAGGATATTTAATGCTTAGATTTCAAAACGTCCATTTCAAATTTCATTCATTTCAAGACGGATCTAACTTTTTTATTCATTGAGGAAAGAAGTTATCCCTGCCAAAGTATGCCATTTTGGCAGTAAGAATAGTTAGAAATTAATTTACATCTAATAACAAATAAGAAGACTGAATGTTAAACGAAAAAAAAAAAAGAAAGAAATATCATTAATAATAATATAAACAAGGAATGATATAAGTGATAAAATAAAGAAAGTGAAAATAAGAAACAAAGTTTTATGTAGGGAATTTCAGATGCAATAAAAACTACAAAATAAGACTAATATCATTGGCTTAAACATAAGATTAAACATTCAAGAAAATTATATTAAAATTATAATTTCGTGATCTTAAAATAACGATAGTTCGCTTATAGTAATTCCAAATTATATTAATAATCATTTATAAAAGATAAAAATGTTAGACAAGCAATCCTGATGACATCCTTTTAAAGGCATTTTTAATAATATCACATAAGACAAAGATCGTTGATCGAACATTTGTCAATTTCGTCACTTGCTGCAACCTTCTTTGTGTCGTGAACTACGCTTGAAGAACGAAAATGCTTTACGCTCTAAAAATAAATTGATTACAGATATAAATTCGATGGAATAAGATTTTAAAATGTTTTAATAATTATTGCGCAAAGAGGAAAGAATGAAACGCAAGCACTTTAATTTTATAGAAACATAATACATCTTAACATTATAAAAAGTTTGATCACATCATAATAATTGGATGGCGAACGGATAGAAATTCAAAGAGTTCAATTTTACTACGACATTATCCCTAATTAAATGAAATTACATTAAGAAAATGTACTTTTAACAGAATCAGTGTCGTCAGATAGTGTGACAACGGGCATATTTGATGTAGCATTAGTTGATGATGACAAATCCGAATATTTTTCCACCCAGGCAACAAAATCATTGTCAGCGCCTTTTATATTCCCACTATTTCGCTGCGATATTGACGATGCCACAGAATCCGAATCCAGCTCCAACACTTGTTTACCATTCATTTCGTTTTCACGCTTTAGATATTGCAGTTCAGGGCCATCCTGAAAAAAAAATCTCAATAAAGTCGTAAATTCATCTCCATCATTTGGTCTAAAAAATTAGGGCAATAATTCCAAGAGTTGGAAAGTGGAAATAAATTACATAAGGATTTTATAAATTGGAAACAAGAAGCTTGTATAGATGAGTAAAAACTCTCCTTTTTTTTTCAAACAAAGATTAAATAATCCGCTGATATTCGCTACATTAACCTTTTCCTAATTATGAAATCTCAAATAACTGAAATTACTCTATTTTTTTAGTCATGATTTCAACCGCTGTTTTCAGTGAACAGTACTGTGGAAAGACAAATGCTGTTATTTGATTCCATTTTTAACACACATCTAACAGCAAACAATTAGAGTGTCACTTCCTTTGCTATCGATATGCCAAATGTAGGTGAATTTTCCTGATGACAGGTCTGACTATTAAAGCGTGCTTTTCTGGTATTTTTATCTAATTCTTTATGGTATTAACATCTTAAAATTTAGAAAATCAGCACTAACAAGGTTTCCAAACCCGTTTTCACGTTCTATTGATATTAATGTTGCTGTTGCCGTTTTAAACAGTTGACTTTGAAGCTCCAATGTCACTTCTTCTTCGTCGTCTAAAAACCAATAATATTTTTAATCTAGATTAGAAAAGTGAAATGAAGTTAAATACAAACATTATCAGTGGAAAATAAGGTTTGCCTAAACCACTGGAACTGTCCCATTTAATTATTTCAGTGTTCCTTTTCAACTCATTCAAAATCTTCCGTATTAGCACTTCCCTTTCAAATGGAAAAAAATAACAAAAAAATGCAAATTAACGTCATAACTTTGTTCAAGTAGGAAAGCATAAAGCCTATTATAAGGACCAAATTTCTCCTATTTAGAAAACTTGTAAATCAAAAGACAAAAAGTTAAGGCAACAAGATACTGAACAAAATGAGAGTTAACTAGAATATATCATGAGTAGTTTCGAATAAGAGATTATATTCATAAGGTGCTGCAGAAAAAAAAAAAAAGAAATAAGTTATTAGCTTACTTTCTCATTATCTTACATTAATGAATTAAAACTGTGTCAAATCAGTAGGAAAGCATCAAAAAAAAAATAATAATACAAATAAGAATATCACATATACCTAAAGGAAAAAGTGGAAAAGATAGAAAAAGATAAAACAAAATTAGTAGTTGGCAAACAGTTTTTACTAAAAAGTTTGAAAAATGCCGGTGAAATATGGAACAAGAAAGCCCTAATAGTCCTAATGATCAAATAAGGCGTCAGATTTTCTTCTTTGAAAACGTTGAAAATTCTAATTCTGAAAACTTACAATGATTACCAGTTATGGTGCTGGGTTTTTCGTATGTTCTCGGTTCGTAAGGAACTGACGACAAGGCATTAACTTCCACTGATGAAACTAAATCCGTAGTGTGTCTTCGCAGAATTTCGCCAGGCCGTGGCGGTGGTGAATACATTGGTGGGCTTTCACCCTAAAACTAATTAAATTACTTTTCCAAGTAATAGTGATGTGGAAAATATGCAAAAACACATCTTAAACGGTTTTTCCTTGAATTCCAAAGTGCAGTTGCATGATCCAAATAACTTTTAGAAGATTTTTGGATTCTATTCTGAACTGTTTCTGCTAACCCTCTTAATAAGCTAGAATTTGCCAATGAATAAACTTTTGCTAACTTCAACCGTCCTAATTCTTCCTTTTTACTGCAATCATCTCTTGCTTTTACAATATATATTTCAAATATACCTTATCAAAGCTTCGAAGCTGCTGTGCCGGTGCCAAATTTGCATGAAATCTTATTTTCAACACCCACTCTAGCATCTTATCGTCATCATTACAAGAAAACAGATATTCCGATCCATCTTGTATTTTCAGTCTGAAGCAAAGTTTTCCTCTTCGAAGATGCTACTAATGCAATATCATCTATCTGCATAGAAAATTTACTAAGCTGTTTTTTAAGCCATTTCATTTTTTTTTCATTACCAACAGAAATATTTCAAGAGAAAGTTTTCAAGTATTTGAAAGTATTCAAATATTTTAAACGTCTGATAAAACTGAAACTTATTTTGAATAGAGAAAAAAACAAAGCGAATTAATTGAAAAATACCTGAAGGTATTCTTTTTTTTCATGTATTCAGGACATGCATCACATTCTGCGTTCAGGATATTAACCGGTGCAGAAGCTGCCGAATTTTCCAAAAAAGAGTCTTCATCTTTGAAGAAACATAGAAGCTGTCCACAGAGGATTGTATAATATCTTTTCCACGTGCGTATCGTTGCCTTTTTTCCACCGCCCTACAGAAACCAGAGTAATGAAACTCACAAGAAAGCGAACTGCTTTATGAAATAGTTGACTCAAGTTTAAAAAAAAACACAAATGGCTAAAAAAACAATGGATAAAACTGCCTTCATAATACTTAGCAATCGCGAAGCAAAGAAAAAAATGGATTGGAAACGGAAAGCTGCTAATTCGACACTTGTGGATATGTTAATAAATCCAAAATGTTGTACCTGTAAGTCTTGCTTTCGATCGAGATGTCCATGCATATCAATCGGTCCAAAGTCATCCCGCGTTTTGATTTTTTTCAATGAATTCGATCGTCTTGTAGTAAATTTCGGAGTTCTTCGAGTTGAACCTATCCTTTGCATTGTCGGAGTTTCATCAACTGATAGCATAGATCCGGACGTTTTCAGCATTCTTTCGGCTTCTGCTGACGAACCATCCGAAACACTCAAAGTTGCCTGCCTTGATGGAGTAGATGGTGCCTCCTAAAACAAGAAGGAAACTTTAAAGTTATTCTTCATTAAACATCAATTTGATATTATCAGCTTCATTTTATAAACATAACAATGAATTTCTAAAATTGAGAAGATAATTAAATGATTCTACAACATACTTTCGATTCGAAAGAGGATGTCCGAATGCATGGAACAGGTTCTGTCCCACGTCGAGGATGTGGTAAAGTATGTGATGCGTACACTTCTTCGGTGTATGATGGACTTGGTTTCAACAATGAAACTTCCTGAGTCATGCGTCTTTCGCGTTCCTTCCGACGATCTTGCAATTTATTTTGTTTCTCAAATGTTTTGATGCTGTCGTTCCGTGATTCATTTTTTCCTTTCTCTGCTCGAATCCTGCAAAAAAAAAAAAAAATGTTGCCCACAAATGCATAGATATCAAATCTGGAAGTCAAAAAATAATATATCAGAAAAACTGTCACAAAATTACTGCTTTCTAGATCGGAGACTCCTTAAAATTTCTTCAAAAATAGCTCTAAATTACTTGAAAGTAGACTAACATACCTTTCGGACTCCTTCTTACGTTGCTGCGAATAAGCCTTCTCGAGAAGAGTTAACCTTTTCAATGAGTCAAATTTCTCACCTTGTGCTTCCAGTGTTATTAGAAAATCATCAAAATTCCTGGAAGACAAATTCAGTTCCATTTGGAAAAAGTAATTTCAACTGTAACAAGTTTTCCTCACAAATTAAATGGGTGTTTTCGCGAAAAAAAAAATCAAAAATAAACCTTATCTTATTATCCGCATCGTCAACATCTTCAACCTTCCTCCAATCCTCCTTCAACATGTCTTCTTTCTCCGTTAACCATGCATCTGTGATATGTGCGTCTCGTTTCCATTGTTGCAAGTCCAAATTTTCTTCATATAACACCAATCGTTCTTTCCAGATATCTTTCAACAAATCCACAGCTGTTTCTAGTTGTTTAATCTGAAAAAGCACAATATGTCTATGCTAAAAAATGTCTTATATTTCTTCCAACTAATTCTCATTCTTATTTTCATTTAAGTAAGAAATCACATTTCTTTTACTGTTGGTTAAAAAACTTAAGAATATAATTATTCGATTGTGACCAGAAAACTTTTGTCTAATCTACTTTCTAATCCTCAAAAAATTTCAATTAATAGAAATTTTGAAGCATTAGAAATTTGAACCTTGCCGGATATCTCGGAAGATAAAACATGTTGTGCAGTAATCATATTGTTACCCTTACGAATAAATTCATCAACAGCAGGCTGTCGTCCACTAATTTCAGCTTGGTATTCTGCATGTCTTAACATTAATGTTTTGCATCCGTCCACGTCATTTGGAAGTGTTTCACTATAAATGTAATCTACTATAACTCACTCAGGAACTTTAACCAATTTTTTAAAAGAATAACATTTGACAGTTATTGAAATTCTCATATATTTTGGTTTCAAAGTAAGAGAACAAGATAAACAGTTGAAATTTTATATGGAAAAAATTAAAGACAAATTACCTTGTTATAGCATGTTGTAAACGTTTGATCCACATGATTAAATCCCGATGTTCTTGGAAATATGACTGTAAATTTCGCATCTGCTGCAGCTTTTCATAATATTTGTTAGCAGTACTGATTACATCCTTCAGCTGCTCTTCCATTCCCATTTTACGCACTACTAGATGTTCCTGTGTATCAGGATATAATGACATTAAACGTTCTGCTTCACGGCTTAAATCGTTGACCTAAAAAACACATTTTCAACCATGATGACTTTAACTGCACCATTTTTTTTTTTCATTTATAAATTCAAGTATGAATTACAAACCTGTTTTTCAACTGCTGTAACTCCACGCATAAATTCATCGTATTTACTCATTAGTTGTTTCAACGCAGGAAGATCAGCACGCGAAATATCTTCACCTTCAAGTGCTACTTGATGCGCTTCCTTTTCTTCCAACCAACCAAGAGTTTCATCAGCATCTTGATCGAATTTATGAACCTTTAAAAGGAAATAATTCAAATATAGAGACCGAAGTTTACATGTTACAACTGTCACTAACACTAATAATAGTTACTATGTAAATTATTATAGTATATATTCAGCCTTTATGATCTTTCCTTCTTTATAAGATAAACGTTTTAAAACAGTTATATATATATAATTGTTTTTTTTAGAAAATATAAAAAACTTTTAAGTATATATATATATCAAATTAATTTCATTTATGTAACCTTTTCAATCTGTTATGAATGAAAGATATTCAAGAAGAGTAATTAAAAGAAATATTTACATATGGAAAACACAACAGTAGTAGTGATGGATAATATCCAATTAAGGTTATTAAATTGAGAAATCGAGAAAAGTTGATTTCTCAACTGCTTAACACTATTATCATCATATTTTGCATTTAACATATGGTGATAGAGCCGTAATTTCTTTTATTTACAATGTGTAATAAAACTTTGTTGCATGATGTTTCGAAAATTTTTCGTAGTTTCCTTGTATCACATGCAAGTTGCTGTGCTGTTAATTTGAAATGTAGGAAATTTCAGATGGTATATTCCATAAAGAAAAGTTTGAAGAACATAAAAAAATCCTTTCCTATGATACATATGATAAAATTAATGCAAAACCTGAATAGCCCCTTGCAAAGCCTGTTGACGTTCATTAGCTACTTCGTTGACTCGAGACCAAAGATGTTGCAGATCAGTTCCTTTCGCCTTAATCGACACACCAAATGGATGACCACTGCGAAGCAGCTCTTCCTGAAGCCCCAAATAGTATCATTTTTATAAAGCAAAACTAAGAAAAAACTAGCAATTTTAATAAAACTTTTGAATACTAACAAAAAAATAATTAGAATTACCTGAGTTCTTCTCACTGCAGCTATTCTTTCACCAGCAGAAGCTAATTCACGCACAACCTGATCAAATTCGGTTACAAGCTTTTGACATTCAGCCAAATCGCGGCCTGAATTTGATTTAAATGCTCTTAGCTTAAACATTAAATAGTAATGTTTAATATTCTGATACAACAGACTCAGACTCAGTACAATAATCCCAAAAGTGCTATTTTGATGAACAAATTATGCAATGGAACTGTCACGAGAGAAAAACGTATATTAACATAATATCAACGTATCAGTAACTCCAAATAGTTAAAGATTAAATCACTCACAGAGTAAAGCTTGAAAAATTAGTTTTTAGTTTCACTACTCAAGCTGTGCATACCATAATTTTCTTGCTTAGTGATTTCTAATTTCTCTGAAAGCCATCGATCGAGACCATCAACTTGGCGAACGAAGGCATGATATCTTGCTGAATCTACCAGTTGCACTTTACGTCTTGCAATATCATCTCTCAGCTGTTTGTATAGTTCTTCTAATTTGGTTTGTTTTGACGAAAGCTTAAAGATTGACGATTTAATCTGGGTAAAAATCTAACTTAAAAAAAAAGAAAAAAATGGACAGTCTCCATCTTAGATATAGACTTTACAGGTACGCATAATATGTATAGATATTAAAATAAAAACGAATCATAAATTGGTAATAAGAATTAAGAATGTTTTAAGGTAGAAAAGAAAACAGATTGTGAAGCTTAGTGTGAAAATATAAGCAAAATAATAAACTAAATAATATAATCACAATTTTAAAATAAAACTAACATTCGTAGAATCAAAATGTTTTGCAGTAAGCATTACTTCCGCTTCCTTCCGTAATCTTTCAATTTCATTAAAGAATTTGTTTATATCATTTTCTAGTGTCTTTAATCGCCTCAAATGCCCTTCTGCAGCCGCCTGATCCCTACCCATATCGTTATTTGCCACCAGTGGCATGCGTTCACGCATCCATTGCTCAGCTTCATTAGCCTCTGCATAATACTGAAAAAAAAGTGAAATTGTGGAAAAAAATTGAAGAGCTTCCATTAGATTCTATTCTTAAATTTTTTTCAAATTTCCTTAAGTTTGCAAAATTTGAAGCTTAATTTCTTATGACCAACAAATTACCTGCTGACTTCGTAAAGAATCTTTCAGTTTTTGTGATCTTTCGTCTATGAATTGTTTTACAGATAAAACCAAAGTCGACAATTCGTCTAGAACTTCCTGTATTTCATTTGATGCAAAATGCCCATCTTTTATCATCTTGCGACCCTTTTCCTCGACCTTTGCTATCGCTTCCTGGAGATTACTTTGTTAAAATAAAAAAGAAAAATGAAGCAAAATAAGCATGTAGACTTTCTATAATGAATCCATCACGAAATCTTTTATTTCTGGCATAAAAACCGATAGAAACTTATTTCTCATTCACTGTACGAGTTAGGAGAAAGAAGATTTTATCGTCCGTCAAATTTTAAGCACTCTTAATCTCTAAAGCTTTTAGTTTCATCTTTAAATAGATGAAATGTCTTAATTTAATTCGCAGAATTGAAATCTAACCCGCCGGCTATTAACATCAGCCTCAAGATGTGCATGCTTCTTGGTAAGCAACTGCACAGCATGCAATGTATCGCCGTAATCAGTGCTTATCGTCTGTCGTTTTCGATCACTTAGCCATTCAACTTGCTCTTCTGCTTCTGATATCCATCCATAAAATGCTAAAGCATCGTTTAGGTTTTCACGGCGAATTATGCAAGGTTTTTTCAGCTCATTGTATCGTATCCCGAGAGCTTCTGCCATTTCTAATGAATCATTAGCAGTTGCATAACCCTGAAATCGCTAACATTTTTTAAATTCCCGAGATACGGTAGTTTTATAATCTAAATATAGAAAATACGATACTATTTACCAAATTTTTGAGCTAGTAATATATGAACTATAGCAGCAATCTACTTCATTTCCACATATTCCACCATATACTGAGCCACAAATTCTCAACCAAATATGCCTACTACAATTATTCAAACAAAGAAAAAGAAAACATGCTTTTTCAGTGCTCTGGAAAAGTGATCATCACTGTTAAAAACGATAATCATTAGAGCACTTTGAATATTAACAGCGAAGTTATGAAATTAACTAACAACTACTCACCATTCTTTATAAAAAAAAGGTTTTTTTACTAACCTTCTTCTGGAATTCATGTGCTTTAGAGACAATTTCATTCACAGCATCTTTCCTAGATTTGATTTCAGCTTCCAAATCATCCTGCTTCTTAATAAGCGTTTCAACAGACATATGGTCTTTTCCGTGATCTTCACTTGATAAATCGCTTTCTACTCGCTCAAGCCATTTCTCTAAGTCTTCAATACGTCGATTCAACTGATATGCTTCATTAGCTTCCCATAACCGTCGCTTTTTCATTTCTGATTTACTAAAAAAAATTAATAGTCATATCAGTTTTTAAAACTAATTATTATTTGAAGCAATGGAAAGAATAAATGTTACAACGTACATTTAAATGAAGCATACGTTTAACTAAAAATAAAAAGGCATTCAACATCAGAAAAAATTGCAAATTCTATGGAACTGTCAGTAATGGTGTTCTGAACTTAAATAGAATTGTATTTAAAAAGCTGTTAAAAATGATAAAATAATCATAAAAGTATTACCTTCGTAATTCATCCCATCCTCGTTTTACTTCAGCGATCTGTAAAGTGATTCGATCGGATGCATAATGTTTGCTAGTAATGAGCTTACTGCCGGCTTCAATCATCGAGTTTACACGACCTTCATTGGCTTCCAACTCAGCATCAAATGTCAAATGCTTTTGTAGTTTGGCCCTATAAAGATCAGAAATTCAAAATCTTCTAATTACCAACACTCTTTACTCCTTTTTATGGCAATTTTAATTATGGTACGAAAGTGGTAATATATTCCGAAACTTTAGATAAGTCGTATCGAGCACATCTTGGAAGGTTATTTTCAATAAATAATACTTCACTGAGTCAGTTGTCGATAGACAACTGATTAGTTTATTTATCTAAGGAAGCTTTTTGATCAAATCGATCAAACCAACCTTAAATTTGTTTGGTCCAAAAAACTTTCATCGTATGCAAGCTGGATATTTGCATTAATCCACGTCATCAGTTCACCACAACTGTCGATAAATTCATGAAGTTTACGTGATTCATTCAGCAATTCACGACGTCGTTTGCATGAATCCATAAGGGCTGCATGTCGAGAGAGAACAGTATCCCGGCTGAAAACGCAAAATCCTTTTCTTTTACGTTCTAATAATACTAAAAAACAGAAAAGAAAGTATCTCAAAAGCTAACACAGAAAAATTTTGATCCTGAATTATTGTAGATTGAAATACATAGTTATCATATAAAGCTAATTATCATATAAAGCTAAGTTAGCTTTCTTCAAAATAAGTTTTTAAATCTGCATCAGCATACATTTTCTCAATTTCATTACGATAATCAACATCACATAATGCAAGCGAGTCCGCATCTTTCTTCAGGGCATCGATTTTATCACTCTGGGCAATAAGGGTTTTTTCAAAATCATAGTGCTTCTTAAGTAGGACATCAACAGCAACAACACTCTCGCCCATGTCTGCCTGAAATAAACATATAAATTAGAAAATTAAAAAAAAAAAAAAAAAAACAGCTCCACTACACTTATTAGAAATAATTCGTGAAACATGTATGATTGGAGCAAAGCAATATATTAAATAATAAGACTAAAAACTTTGCGAAGCATTTTATACAGCATTTATTTGCTTGTATGAAAATAACGAAAGTTTCACCTAAAAATGGAATTGTTACCTGTTTAAGGAATGCTTCTTTAGATGCAAGCCACTGTTCCGCACGAGCAGCTTGATCAGCAAACAGTTGGCGATTTCGAGCTCGAGCTAAGGCAACGTTTCGAGCTTCCCATGCTTGACGTAACTGATGCTCCACATTTTGAAGTCGTTTTATAGCTCGTTGTATTTCACCTTTATGATCTGATTGTTTAGCAATCAATCGCGTGCTCCATTCCCGCAACTCTGATATTTCACGCTAAAATGAAAAAATGAAAAAAATAAATTCCGAAAAATGCTTACATCAAACATTAGAAAGAATCAAGTATAGCACTTGATAAATAAATTTGTGCAAATTAGTAATATTATAACACTGTGAATTAAAATGAGGTGGACAATAGATTTTTTTTTTTTTTTCACAAAAAACATAAATAATCAGAAGAACCTGTCGCCCATCAATTTCAGCAAGCTTTTCAACATGCCTAGCAATAAATGCATCAGCGTCTGTTACAGAACGTGGACTTTCCGCAGTTGTAAGTCGACTGAGCGCATCTACTGCCCAGATTTCAGCTTTTCTCATTGCATCAAGGAATTTGTGTAATTCGCCAGATGCCATTAATGCTTGTCCCCTGTAATATGTTAATATATGAAATATATTCATAAAAATAGCTGTTCTCAATTTTGAACAAAAACTTCCTATTTACTATCAAATTCTAATAAAAATTTAGTGAAAAAAAAGTACAAAGGAATAACCTTGCCGTTGCTCGTTCAGCTAACTGCTTCCAAGAAGTTTCCAGTTTCTGTAATGATTCAATAACTGTATTACACAGCGGAGGTTTCTTATCGAGAAGTTTCTGTGCCTCAATATCGTGCGCCTAAAATAATTGAAGGTAATTTATATACATCGAAACTACCTGTTAATATATTTGCTCAAAAATCCAATACTGAAAATTTCAAACATGATAATATTTCTCCACATGAAATAACGCAAACTAGAGATAAAATTAATGGTAGTGGTACTAACAAAATTATTTTTTTTTTTTTGGTGATTTCACTCAAGTTTGTATAGATTTTCAACAGAAAATCATTCAGCATAAATTACTCAACAGAAAAATGAATATATAAACTGTAACTTAAGCTTCTCATGAATAACAGTCATGTCCCTTTCCACTGCTTCCTGCTTACGTATCAATGCTTCGACTGAATGTAAATCTTTTCCAAGATCATCACTTGTGACAGCAGTAAGTTTCTCCTGAATCCTTTCACAAGTATCGTCAACATCGCGATTGAATGCGTGAATTTCAAGTGCTGAACGAAGCTGTGAGCGATATAAACTTAACTTGACTTGCACCTGTGTCCAACTAAAATCAAAAAAAAAAAATAGTAATGCTTGGACCAAAAAAAAAGCGAACGAACCTATATTGCAGTATTGTTTCGCCGACAATCAACATTTGTCATAACAAAATAAAAATTAACTCCGTGATTTTTCAGTGACCAGAAGTTCCGTGTTTCTTGCAATATTTATAATATCCCATTAACATTTCTGTATAACAATTAAAATTTTTTAATTAAGAAAAATGGAACCAACGCTTCATTTAGTTCTTTAAGCTGCTGTTGCACCTCATCCTTCGAAGACCGCCCTTGAGCAATCAACTTTTGACCTAAACAATTCGCAGATTCAATGGAAGTTTGATCAACACTTGCATCTGCTTGTGTACCATCCAATTTTTCCAGCAATGCTTGGCAATGCTCCATATCACGACCCATCTTACCGGCACTAATCAGAAGTTCTCTTTCCTGGAAAATATTCTCCGTTTGTTTAATTCATTTTTTCTTCCGTATAACTGAACTAATACAGAAAATTTAACAGAGTTATGTCGAATGACACATTACAAATCCTATAACCAGAAATATTAAATCACATTTGCATTCTAATACTAACCTTTCATTATTTTAATACCAGCAATTGTATTTCAGTACTAAAATTACTAAATTCTAACGATTTGAATAATCTAAATTTGATGATTTAAAATATGTGAATAAATGATTGCAAAGGTAAAACTTATTTATACTTACACTTATCCATCGCATAACTCTTTCAACAAGCTGTTTGAAATCAAGCAAATCTCGAGCTTCCTCCAATGCACTACTTTGGTCACGTGACATAGCTACTAATTCATCCCATTTGTTAAGCATAGCACCAGTCCTGAATTAAGGATACTTTTACAGTGATTAAACGATATTAAATGTGAAAGACATTAAGTAATAAAACAAAATTTCACAGTGGAAAATTAATTTAATAAAAATGAATAAATCAAACCTCTTGTTAATGTCATGTCCATCATTGGTAGGTTTGGATGCTAATGTTCGTGCTCGCATCCTCATTTCTTGAATTCGCGACTCATTTGTTGACAATTCAGCTTCCATTGCCTGAAAAAATAAATAAAACTGCTCAAACAAATTATAATTCCTAAAAATTTAATAGTAAAGGTTAAGTTTCAAAAAGATAAACATTAAAGCCGCAAAGCTAAGAAAAAAATAACTGAAGCCCAATAATAAAATTTGTACTCAGTTTAGCTTAACATGAAATAGTGAAATTACTCTATCTTAGAGAATTAAATTACAAAACCTGATGCTTTTGTAGGCGCTTCATTTTATCTTCGATACTTGTTAACTTTGCTTGTCTATCACTTTCAGCATTTATTCTTTTCTGTTTATCATCAATCCAGCTTTCTATCTCCATCATATCACTGTTGAAACGAGCCAAATTTAATGCATCATCCAGAATACTCTTACGTACATTCAATTGTACACGAAGCTGTGCAAGAGCTCCTTCCACCTTGATAAACAAAAAGAAAATTACGAAAATAAATGCTCCTCCAAAGAGAAAAATGATCAAACTAACAGAACATAACTGAACACATGAAAGAAATATCCCAAATGTCTAGTTCCTAGAAATCTCAGCAAATTTTGGTTGTTATATGCACCACACAACTAAATAATACCCGCAAAAAGATGCTTCACTCTCTCAAATTCAATCAATACTTAGAGTAAGCCACATAATGTAAATAAACAGAAATTACTTTCCAATTAATAAACAGTCAGTTAACTTTTCTACTTCTGCTAAGAAAGAACATTATAAATTCTATGTTATTTCAAGTCCTGATAATTTATTCCTCCAAAAAATGTTTTTTTTTTTTTTAAAACTAATAAGTACTGAAAACTTTAAAATAAATCTTAAGTCCCCTCATACCTGCTTCATATACTGATCGATTTTCGAGGATTCAATGTGTTTAGCAGCAATCAATTGTTTTGATGTCTTTTGTAAAGCAACAATGCGATCATCAAGAGTTGCAAGTGCCTTTTGAAACGTTTCCACTTTCTTAATTTGACTTTCAACTTCTTCCACTGTTCCTCCAATCTTAAAAAATTGCTGCTACAGTAACCTATTATAAATTGCTACTACTATATGATTTTAAAGATATTTATTTAATGCTTTATAAACACTAGCCACGCATGAAAGATTAACATCTGATATAAAAAAGAATAAATTTTATATTTCGCTTTAACCAAGTTTAAAATACCTGCGCACAGCAAAGTGTTGCTTGTCGAGCTGCGATTGTAGCCAGAGTTTGTTTTGCCTCGCGTTGGAATGCATGCCATTCACGTATCTGAGATAACCATTCCCGCCGTATGGCCCATTCATTTCGGACTCGTTTCAAAGCTTGGTCAACCTAAATAGGGAGGTAAATTTTTAGACTCGTATACAATTTTATGCATGGCAATAATGAAAGAAACAATGATTTGGAAACTGTTTTAAACCTCGTTCACTCGAAATTCTTGAATTTCTAATTTATAAGATTCATTTAAGATTGAATTTTTTTTGCTTAACAAATAAGCTTTCTTTCTTTTACCTGCTTCAATTTTGCAGTAATTTCTGCGCTTGCATAGTGGTCTTTTGCTATCATCTGCTCACCGCGACCAGTTAATCGTGAAAAATCCGGTTCACGCGCGTCTATTTCAGCCTAAAATTCAGAAATATAAAAGAGATAAGCTTCATCGTAATATGAAAACAAACATTCTAAACAACCACGAACATAAGCATAGATTACAAATTTACGCATACGCTAGTGAAGTCAAAAAAAAAAAAAAAAAAAACCAGAGGGAAAGAATTGATGAACGATGAGTTCGAGTGCTGTAAAAAAAGTGCTGTATACCATATTTGATTCAGTAGGTAAAATAAGTCAGTAAAACTTGGCTGCCAAAACTTTTATTACTGCATAAATAAGTATTTCATAAATGATTAGATATCGTTGAAAATTATATAAATTTAAAGATAGAATTCAGTTTTAACTGTAAGATGAATGAGCTATAATTCAAAGTGCCGTTAAAACTATGCTAACTTAGCCAATTCTTTTCTTTCATAAAAAGCCTTCTTGATTTATTTCATGAATTTACCTGCAAGCGAAGATGCTCCTTTTGCAACCACTCCACACTTTGCAAATCATGTACTACTTGCTTACTCTGCATATCTCTCACAATGACTTCTGTCCATGCAATCAAATCACGAGCCTACAAATTAAAATTGCTATTGCATGACATTTACGTAACGAACATCTGCCAATCTTAAATATTATGATAGAACATTAAAGTATGCTTATGCAATGCTTTTTCGAGTACCATACCACTGGCAAAAACTCTTAACACCACTCACGTTCACGTAAAAACGTTGGAAATCATAAGCAGCTTTCAGCATATCACGACGTGTAACAGTTGCATCTTGCAAATCCTGCCAAGCTTCAGCCAAAGCTGCTTGCTGTGTTGTAATATGTTCCGCATTACCACCAGGATAAGTAGCTTTCAGGCGTGCGCTTTCTTCTAATAGATCACGTAACTGCTGCTCCATAGCACCAAGCTGATTCTCGAAGGCTTCATGCTTCAACCACAAAGAATGCACTTGCTTAATGTCTTTGCCAAGTTCTGCAGGAATTGAAGCTTGCTTCTCAGCTATTCGTTCTTGATTCTCAGCTACATCACGATTGAAACGATGTAACTCTTCTGCCGCTTCCAGCTTCTGATCGCGACTTTCAATATAATCTAGTAGCAAGGACCAAACAGACCTAAAGTTTTAAAGCCGAAGTATTGGAAGAAATCGCTTGATTATTCCTATACTTCATGGAGACTTCATCAAACTACCAAATGACTCTAAAAGGAAAAAATATCCAAGCTAATGAAATCATTAGCAATAAAATTTCGTGACAAGATAAGAAATGCAATTTTGGAAAGTTTTGCTTCATTTTGGCTTTGAAAAATAAAAATTGCCTATCATCTCCATAAAGTACAAATAGATCACGCAAAAAGTTTAGTAAAAGAAAGACTAAATTGGTAAATTAAAACTTATATAGACGAGAAACCTGCAAAATGTTGGAAAATAGTGCTAGTCACCTGAGTTTTTCCTGTCTTTTTAAGATGTCACGAGCAAACGGTGGATTACGTCTCAGCAATGCATTCGCTGCTGATTCACAATGGACAAATCTTTCGCTACCTGTTTTGACACTTTGTTTGAAATCTTCAAAACGGCTCTGTAATTCCTGAAATGCGTACCATTTACATTAGCAATAATCGATACAAAAGTGGTCAAAGAAATTGTCTCGTTTTATTATGAATCTTAGATCAACTCCTCTGAGAATTCAATTCATTTAAAGTATTGAATTCTAGCCCATATATTCTAAATAAAAACAGGCAGACAAGCGAAAGTTCGAAAGCATTGAATTTTATTGCATATCATCCAACTAACCTTTAAATGTTCATAATCGATTCCATAATCTTCGCTCATTGCAACCAGTAATTGTTCGTTTATCCATGCTTCTAAATCTTGACTTTCTCGTAAATACTGATATAAATAGACTGCATTTTCAAGTTGTTGTTTTCTTTCATCTGCTAAAGTTGAAAGTGTTTCAAATTCTTTTTCCAATTCTGTTTGCCTCATAATAAATCGCTCATTATTTGATCGATTCGAATTATCTAATTCTTTACACTGAACTGCCAATTTCTGAAGCCATTGCCTATAAAGCAAATGAAAAATTATAGTCTCACAAATGAAAATATCATTGCATCTTACACATCAGCAGTGCCCTCTCAACAACAAAAAACCTACATAATGAACTAGATAAACGAAGCCACAATTAATTACACAAGGTGTTCACTATCAAAGCTTTTGCGTCCTTTCATCGTGTTAAGGGGAAAAATATTTTACATTCCAATCTATTTGCAAATTGCTTCAAAAATAAGTAAATCAATTTCGTTAGGGAAAAATGAACACAATGAGAGATGCATATGCATAAAACATACTTATATGTAACCATATCAGCCTGTAGAGCTTTATGTTTAGCTAACAACTTTTGCGCTGCATCTTCATCTTGACCGTAATCTTCTGATGTTAATGCTCCCCGTTTTTCATTCATCCAAGAATCGACCTAAATTCGACTGATCAAAAATAACAGGAAGCTTTAAAATGATCCGCCGAAGCTGATAATCAATTCAACCATGTGTATAAATTTTATAAGATGTATTATATTAAAAAAAAAAAGAAAAACTAGAAAAAGTATAATCTGTTACCTCGGCTGCATCAAACATATACTGCTCTTCTTTTAAAGCCCAATCCAACAAATTTTTTCGCTTTCGCATTAAATTATTTAAATGTTCTAACGCTTCAGCAAGCTGCAATTGAATAATTAAGTAAAATTAAAGAGAAACTTGGAAATATTTGCACAGATATAAAAGATAAGTAAATCATGGAAATAAACAATACTTGTTCATATTTAGTGCGTATTTGCTCCTGTGCATAATGCTTCTCCTTAATGAGATTGCTACCACGATTCAATGTCTGCTTGATATGAGGATATCGTGACGCCACCTCCGCCTGTAAATTTAAAAATCCCTTGATAAACATTATTTTGAAAAAAAAAAAAACATAGAGAAAGAACACGAAATACAAGAAAACATATTACAACAGAAGAAAATTTCGAATGAATTAGTCATAATTGGAAACAAAGGAAAAACTGTTAAATAAAAAAATGCAATAACTCATTTGACTATTATAATTATCTTAGTGATCAAATCATAAAAAAATTTCGTGTTAAAAACCAAGACGAAGTTTTTCTCTAATACATTTCTATCTAGAATCTTCAAGTAATTTCATTAATGTTATATACTTAAAAATATGAATTTACCTCCAACTGTTCATGCTTTTTTTGCATATTGGTAGCTTCTGTAAGAGAATAGCCAGTTTCTTCAGATGATGCAATTGGAACCTTTTCTGAAATCCAGTGCATTTCACAGTCTATATCAAACGATAATTGATGCCACTTTAAACTTTCCTCCAGTGCTATCCGACGATCTTTGGCTGGTTCCTTCAATGACTCAAATCTAAAAATTTTCACTTTTATCTAAAATTATAAAATTTTCAGTTCTTTATAATCACTTCGAAATAATTTATTTGCGAATGAATAGAATTTTCACGATTATTTCACGAGTATTTTATTAACTCAGAAATTTTTAACCTCTTAATTTTGTACCTAAATCTGAATCAAGGATCTAAAATATATCACTTGGAATTTTCGCTTTGTTTATAGAAATAGAAAAATGATTGGACCATGTATGAAAGGTAATTAGAATTAACCTTTCAGTAAGTTTCTGTATAGCTCTCTTAATGGCAGTCGAATCAAAATGTCCCTGTTGTATCATAGCATTTGCTTTCTCCATCATTTCAAGAACTCTTTTCTCGAAAACAGTCATTTCCTTCTCCACAACAACTTGTTTATGGATGAGTTCCTTCACACCCCGCAAATCAGATCCTAAATCTTTCGAATTCAAAGATGCTTGTATTTCGTCTAACTTCAAGTGAGCATCATCCAGAGCTTCATTCAATCCTTTTTGATCTTCCGCTTGTCTCAAACATTCTCCTTTAGCATTTGCTGCACGTAAAAGATCAGACCATTCGACATTTACACCATCTAACAATCTTCGAATGGATTTCGATTCGTAATGCCGCGCTGCTATCAGCGAATTTCCTTCCTAAAAGAAACATAAGTGAATGACTTACGAAGAAAACAAGTAGGGAAGACATCACTACTTCTCCAAATGCACTTCGACTAAAATAGACAAATAGTATTTCATCTATCCTATTCATTCAGCATTCAATATGCTACTACATATGTATTTTAAAGCTATTATTAAAGATAACTGAGATAGTAATTTTTCTCGGATATAGCAACAATAATACCGATACGACATTAATTTAAGTGAAATTTCTTCTTACTTCAGTATATCAAAAATCATTTACAAAATATTAATTTACCGCATTCAATTCGTCTAAACGTGCGACATTTGATTTCAATTCTGCTTCGAATGCTTTATGTTTTAGTAATTTCATTGTAATAGATGCTGTGTCCCGATATGAATCATCATTTGCAATCTTCCGTTTTTCCGCTATCCACTGAGACAGTTCTTGAATATTCCGGCGTAAATTTTGATACTGAAGTGATGCTTCTAGCTGTGCACGCCTCTTTGCTGCTGCTTGATGAACTAACGATCGACGAGCCAAAACATCATCACGACGCTGAAATTTTGAGAAAATAATTGTTTCACTCACTAAGGTAAAGATGTTGTTTTTAATTCAAATGAAAAAAAAAAAGAAAAAAAATAGCCATTAAATAAATGAACAAATGAAAGCAAACAATTGGCTCACTAAATAATGTATAACTCATATTAATTCTTCAATCATTTCTTATTTACTTCAAATAAAACTACTTAGTTACTGAAAACAAAGTAAAATATTGTTTAAAAGCTTTTGGGAAATGATTAGTTGCCTATTATACAAGAAAATAAATGAGACAAATTTCATGGGTTTATAATAAAAACTGAAATGCGCGAAACGATCAACTTCTAAGATAACCTTTTTAATGAAATCTGCTTCGCTATGTTTTGCCTGGATCAGTTGATCGGCACCTCTCGCGAAAACTTTCAATCGATCTTCCTGAGCTCGAAGTTTCGCTTCAAAATCCGAATGACGCTTTAACAAATTCTCAGCTGTTTCTACCGAATCCTGAATTCATTTAAACTGACTTCAAGATCTGAACAAATTCACAAAAAAATGAAATCCATTAAATTTTATTATACAACAAAATAATAGAAAATTGTAAAAATAAAACGGAATTGTCGAATGAATTACATTGTAACCTCAAACTTTCAATGTCAAAGTCAATTATACTAGTTCCAAAAACTTTTAAGATATGAAAAAACACCCCAAGATTGGAAAGTTCCAAAAAAGCTTCATGTCCTTTTGTCGCTGCGTCAATTCTTTCCGCTTCGGTATTTAATAACTGTAAATTCAAAAGTTCTTTCAGCCATCGTTCTTTTTCCTTCCATAAAGCATTGAGTGTTTGCTGTTCGGTGTCTAACTTTTTCAGACTTCCCTTTACCTGAAAGATATTGTTTAACATATTATTATTCAAAGCCGATTTACATCAAACACGTCAATTGACCATGCAATCGAATCTAAATTTTCAAAGATCAAAATTTTCCTAGTAATTTCAAATTTTGCAAAAGACCTAATGATAATGAAATCATAATCTTCTTCTTTTTCACTAATTTACCAAATAGTTTCCCATCTAAACTTAAGATAAGATATTTGAAATCATTCAAACCCAACCCTTATAATTAAATTTTCAAAAGACAAACATCTTCAAGTGCAGAATTTTTTTGCAGTAAACGCTGTCCAAGATCTCGTATATAATCGAATTCATATTTTTTACCACTTATATCATCGTTGAGCTCATAATGCTTCTTCAATAATTCTTCAGCTGATGAAACATCTACTGGTCGGGTATTATCAACAAGAACTAATTTTGTTTTGTCAATCCATGTTTGCAAATTCCTAAGAAAAAAATATTAGTCAGCAAATAAAAATTTTCTATGAGATTTCATCAAATATGATTATAAAATAAAATAGATGTATTCAGAGTGCTAAACAAAAAATATTGCAAATCAACTTAGTTGATAAATGATATCTTAGAAAGCACTGCTTTTTATATTAAATGAGCAGATACTAGTAAAAACCTAGCAAAAAATAATAAATATTAAAAAATCATTCAGCATTGGAAAATATTTCGAATACTAAAATGGACAACTAATTCTGTTGCATAATTCAAGAAATAAACCATACTTCACAGCACCATCGAACATTTGATGACCCTGTGTTTGTTCGGCTTCCTCAATGCGTGCAGCTGATTTTTGTCTCAGTTCATCATGCATTTTAACTAATTCTTTAATCATTTGTTCAATTCTAGCAGCTTCTTCAGGATGCTCTTTCTTTACCTAAAATATGCATTAGTTCATTCAAGATTTTTAACTAAATCATTTTAGAAAATTCAAATGTATGCTAAATTACTGGAAAGAAAAAAAACAAAAACCACAAAGAAACCTCATCTGCAAGCTGCTGCAGGAAACGAATCTTTTCCTCCAATGGTTTAAGATCCTTTCCCAAGTTTTGATAACGTTTCTGTATTGCCTGAACAGCTTTTGGATCATTCATATCAACTTTATGTTCAAGTAAGTCAAATTTATCTTGCATCCATGATCGAGCGTCTTCGCATGTTTCATTAAATGCTGCAACTCTTTCCGCTGCTTCCTAAAATGATTGCATAAACATATATATGAAGGGCTAATAGATAAAGTTTAAAATTACTGCATAAAAAGTGCTAGGAGATAGCATAGTTATGCCACAGCAATACTGCTTTTAATTTCTAGTAGTAATTATTTGAATGTTCTGATATATATCGTTAATATTATATGTATTGAAATAAGCTATATTATCAACATAATCTATATTATCTTTGATAAGGATTGATAAAAATAACATACAGTTGGTAAATGTCATTAACGGCAATTTTATTACTGTATGAAAAAATCTAAAGAAAAAGGTAGTACCGGGAAAATTCTTTTGACCTCAGATTTGTTCCCCATTTCATTTTCATAAGACCGAAAAAAAAAATTATAACTCTAGACTATCTCATATCAAAAATCATTTGTTAGACAAATTAACTTACAAGTTGACGCTGCTTTATCTTTAAAAGATCACGTATTTTGTTCCAAAGCAAATTCGCTGCATCCTGACGTCGTCGAATTTCATTACTATGGCTATGACCTTCATTAACTAATTCTTCGGCAACGTCATTAATTCGTTTAATTTGAATTCTACCGTTGGCGTTGATTTCATTTTCGAGTTTCTAAAAAAATAAATAAAAACAAAATATGAAGCTAAAACATTATGTAATTATCATCTTATCTCGACATTCAATGATATGCAAATGTGGTATCAATATATTCCAAACTTTGTTCGAAGTACTAAATGATCTTTGTGTAGCAATTGAAAAGGTAAAATGCTTTTACTAATTCATCAATTTATATAATATAGAAATCTTAGCTCAAATTTCAACGATTTAGGAAAAATTTTCCACAACTTACATTAAATTTCTTTCGTGAAGTCTTAACATTATCTGAAGTAGTGCTATCAGCAAGAGACATTTCTGTTTCTTTTGTCCAAGTTTCAAATTGATCGCATTCACGTAAGAATTTAAACAACTTGATTACATCATTGAGAAGTCGCCGGCGTTCCTAAAATCCGCAAAATTCTGTAAGCAAATATATACAAATGGAAAAACAGAAGAATTTACAGGATGAATTTCAAAATATTTGAACGAACTGAAGATATAGATTTGGAAATTTAAAAAATGAAATGAACAAGAATATATGAAACAACTAATATGGAAAGGTTATTACTCCGTTAGTGGAAAGAAACTATTCCTTTACCTCAGCCAAATTATTCAGATTTCGATAACCAGCGCTAATAGCTTCCTGACGTTCCATAATAGCATTTCGGGAACCCTGTGATTCGCGTTCCGACTTCCGAGTAGTTATTGTTTGTGCAACCGTTACTGTCTCGCCTTCCACAATTTTACAATAATTTGCAGGTACGTAACCTTCTACTCCATCTTGTTTCAAAATACGCCACCAATCATTGTTTGATTTTTCAATTAGTGCTAATATCTTAAAATAAAAATTTTAAACTGATCTCAAAGATGTTGACTGCCTTATTGAATCCTTATTCAGTAATTCAGATTTTCAATAAAACTTCTCATTTGACTGACTGTGCAAATAGTCAAGAGCTAGAAATAAATCCTTTAATGATTCTCATTTCACTTTCAGAATTTATAAAAAAGAAATTTTGAAAAACTGCAAAGATAATTTAAAGTGTGACTTAAAATGAAACAATGGAAAGGCTACAGGAAGGAAAAAATAGAAATAAACAATTAAAAACTGACTACTGTTTAATTATTCATTAAATTAATACAAAATAAATTGGATCAGATTTTCCGGCAAGTAAATTACAACATTTGACAATGTCTAAGACATATATTTCAATAACTAAAAATAATGCTAAAATAAAGAGAATAAATAATGGTACTAACCTCATCTTTTTTAACTTCGATATTATTCCCGGAGTAAGGGTATAACATCTTCACTTGAGGTACAATAAGCTCTTCAGTATCTTCTTCGATACGCACAACGGCGCCCGCGATGAATTCCGTATTTGCTAACTCTCTTGCCATCTCTTCAAGTCTTACTATATCAGCTCGATAAGCCTGAATCTCTTCTTCCAAACGCATATGCCTTCAATTGAAAATACTAAATATTATTACATTGAAGGTCTCTAGTAATAATAAAAAAACAATAAGATTAAAAGAATTTAACTTTTTGCAAAAGTAGTGGAGATGGATTAAATTTGAAAAGTTAAAATTTGAAGCAAACAAATCTACAAAACAAAGGAACAGAAAAAAAAAAGAAAGTTCACCTTGATAACAAACTTTCTGATGCTTGTTCATCACGCCCATAGTCACTACTTTTAACAAGTGGCATTTTTTCACGAATCCAACTTTCTGCTTCATTTGCATCCTGGAAATACTGATGAGCTTGTTCAGCTTCACGCAACCATCTTCCAACCGCTTCAACTACCTAAAAAAGTGGAACGAATTGTACATCGACAAAAAAGATATATAATAAACACGTTAACAATATATAATTCATTCGCTTTTTCGGTACTTTTCTACACCAAAATTTTACTTTGAAAACCTTTTACCACTAAGTACATTAAAACTTAAAAATTTTGATACATTAAAACTTCCACTGGTGTACATTTGTAGTGTGTATCTATAAAACAGTTGCTAAAACAGTTCATAAATATATGCTTCAAAACCAATTTCGCAGTAGCAAATCTCGAAAATCTTAATAATCCAAGAAATTCTCGTATGTTTCAAAATTTCACCAACTTTTCTTAGCTGCTCCCATTTAGCGTGCAAATTATATATTCTCGTTTGAATATCTTCTTTATTTTGACCATTTGATACTAGTCGCTCACCAGCTGCAATCACTCCTTTTGCTCTTTGCCAGTGTCCTTCCATTTCAGTTTCCAAATTCTAAAATTAAGAAAAATAAAATACAAACACCTCATTTCACTTTGTAATGAACGAAAAGTTTGGGAAAGAAAGCAAAATTATTAAAAATTTAAAAAAAAAATTATTGAAAAAAAAAAAAAAAAGAATTAGAATAATCACCTTAAAAGTGCGTCTTAATTGAGCAGTAGCTGAAAGGTCTCTATTTTTGAGAAGTGAGATGCATAAATCTTCTTTTTCCTGTAACCAACTCATTTCCTCTTCATGATCTTGAATAAAACGGTATAAATCACGAGCACGATATAAAGTTATCCTTCGCTGTTGGCATAATTGTACAACACTAAAAATGATATAAATATGCCACAAAAAATACTGCTCTACGAGCATTTAATCGAAATTATCATAAAATATTAAAATCAAAATTACTGAAATTTCTGTATTATAATTTATTTTAAATTATTTCATAATGTCATCAGGATTTACCTTTCATAAAGAGCGCTCACATTATCTAGTTTTCTTTGCAACACATCATACTGTTCTCCCTTTCCTCGAATATAGTCCAATGCATGTGATGTGACATTTTTCAACAGTTCTCCCTGTGAATTGAGTTGTGCTTCGAGAATCTCTTGTTTGCCAAGCAAATCCTGCACTCCTAACAAATGTTTTCCAACATCACGACTCCGAAATTGAGGCTAAAAATACAGCTAATGCAAAGGATAAAGTTAAATATAATAGAATAATTAATGATAATATTAACAAGAAATACACTGTGAAAATAATATCAATGGAAGAAATTCTCAAAGCACACTATCAGAAATTTTTTTTTAAACATAAACCATAATTAAGCTTTAGGTAAAAAAAAAAACTTTTCCGTACTGAAATTTCCACCACGTAACAGTCACAGAACTTAACAAATGATGCACGACAAATGAACTTTACCTCTAACGCACGTATCTCCGATAACAATGTATCTATATCCCGAAGCAAACCCATTAGATCACTTAATGATAAAAGCGCACGACGTCGTGCTTCTAAAGCCGCTAGCAACTGTGACCATTTATCTAAAAGTTCACGTTCACGTATTCGGATTTTATCACTATCATGATAATTTTCCTTCGATAACTCCGCAGCCATAAACGACAGTGACTTAAATCGATTTTCCTGAAATATCGCCGTAAGTTTTCCTGTTTAAGTATTACAAATAGAAATGAAGAGGAAAAGTTCATTTCCACTCATTTTCAATCAAATCGAGTTTTGTTTTAATTCTTTTTCCTTCTTTGTAAAATATAATTTTGAACAGCAAATACAATAAATGTAATTACTCTCATTTACTACCACAGAAATAACTGCAAAAAATAAGAGCAGAAATAGAATAACGAACTCTAGGCAGGATATCCGCAGCAATAGCTTGTTGTTTTTTCAGGGAAGCTTCAACTTGAGCAATATTTCTACCCAAATCAAAATCTTGCAAGACAGAACTCATCTCACGTAACCATGCATCTCGTAATCCTGCTTTGCGTTCAAATTTCTGCGCCATAAGTTCTAATCTTTCTTGTCTGAAATTTTTATTTTACATATCTGTAATCTATATATTGCATTGACTATTAGCTACAATAGAGTTAAATTTTTCAAACAACTGAAATCATTGGCTTAGTTCATTTAAACAATAAACTTTCTAGTTTCAAAATTTTGATTTTTACAAGGATGGTTAGAAGCTAAAAAAAAAAGGAAAAGAAAAACTAATAAATTAATTAAACCTTCGCAATTCCATCATAAGAGCTAACTGTCTGTCATTTTCGGAATGATCCAAAAGTGCCCAAGCTGATTCAATATCATGCATAAATAGGCCTGAAATTGAGGATTAAAAGGTTAACAAAAATATATCAAAATTTCTATCAAGGATATTGTTTTCCCCAAAAGCATGCAAATTTTTGATAATTTCAATAATGATTGATGACAATTTTATAAGATTATTTTAATAGTTAAAAATACCCGCTGGTGGAACATATGGTTTTCTCCCCATTGCTTTTCTCTTTGTTTGTATTGTGAAAAATAAAGCTTCCAATTCTCCTTTCTCTTTATATCTAAAATATTCATTTGTTTTAGAAAGTAATATTTATTAACATAGACAAATATCATTTATAAAATATCGAAAGGAAAATTCTATATTGTATCAAAAAGAAAAAAAAAACTATTTGATGAAAATAATTGAGACAAAAATACATTAATTGTTATGAAATAAACTGATAAAAAGGAAAAAGAACACATACTTTGGTGGTTTTTCCACAGTACGATAATTTTTAAATGCTAATAATTGATCCTGAATTCCTTTTAGCGAATTTGGGAATTTTCGATCGTTTAGCATCGTAATGGTTTGCTGTATCCAAAGAAGTAATTCTGAACATAGCGCTTCATAATCTTCTTGAAGTTGATCAGAAGACATCAAGCTACCAACAATCTATAAACAATCAGTATAATTAAAGATATGTTTAATTACTATTCCAAGAAAAAAAAAAAGATTGTGTACGATACTGAGTTTCCATCATTAATATTTCCCAATTATGATCATTTCTTTTTGTTTTTTCTTGCACCATTTTAATGAAATATTCCATAGAAACACTATAATAACACTTTGATAATGTGTAATTTCAACTGAATCAAAATTTAACTTCAAAATAACTGAATTGAATTGGTGTTAAGATTGGAACAAATCTGGATTAAATATTTATATAAAATTTAAATGATCTAAACAAACTGATTATTTATGACTAACCTTAGCAACTCTTCTTGCACCAGTCATTTCTGTTTTTTGCTTTGCAAAATGATGATAATAGAGTGAAACATAAGTAATAATAGATTTTTCATCTGGATGAGCAACATTAACATCTTCAGCATCCAACAGACGTGCAATATCTAGCTTCTTCTCTGCTACATCGAATGCATTATTTAAATTTCCGATTGCATCTTGTGGTGACAAACTTTCATAATTAATCAAATCTGGCCTTAAAATTATCATTATTAATTAAATGATTTTAAATGAGATATAAAAATAACAATGTTCTAGTTATTTGAATTAGTGTAGAAGATGAAGATAGCAAATATAGCAAAAAAAAAGAGAAATACATCAAAAAGAAGATATTAATTAGTGTAAGCTGTTAAGAAAATCAAAAGAACTATTAATCTAAGCAGTAGTTTATTTTTAACTTAATAAATGAATATAAATTATGCTAACCTATGAGAGTGAATTAACGCATTGAAAGCTAAACCATTACGCCATGAAGTGGTGAAATTTTCTACTTTTGAATTTGCATAACCTGCTGTTTTTCTTTGACACCATAATAGAAGAGCATCCTTCGCATGCTTTCTTTCACCTGATTCTTCGTCCATCTAAAATTTAACATTCTAATAGACAAAAACAAATTAATTTGCGAATTAATCTTATCTCATTAATTTAAAAAAATTTCCGCTAGGAGTGAATATATCTTTTACAAGTTTTAAAAATCATACAACAATCAATACATATTCAGTTTACCGGAATGGAAATCGTATCAATCTGGAAGCGAAGAATGATCGTCCAAATGAGACCGAGAATAAGCCGTTCATTTCGATCCAAAATATCTTCTGCACCAATATTTTCAAGCTGTAAATGATTAGTCTTAAGAACCTTATATATAATCAATGATCAGATTTTATTCATAACTAGAATACACTTTAAGCACTGATTCCGATGATTCATGCTATTATTTTAAATAGTTTAAAGATTTATTGAATCCAACAAAATACAACGGTTAAATCACAGCTCTTATTAATAAATAAGAAAAAAACATTAGTTTTCTTATCGTGACATAAAGAAATCTATATAAATATTAGAAAAGAAAAAAACAAAAAAAGAACAAAAACGAAATGAAAACAAAGATGAAAATATTTCCTAGATTAAATTAAGAACGATTATTTTAAAAATTACATTAAAAAAAAAAAACGATCAGTGCTATTTCTCACGTAGACGCATGAATGAATGTAGAAGAAACAACCAAATGAGTTGGAAATCACTAAACTTCAGAATCTCGGAACAAGCCTAAACTACGGAACAGATAAAAAGGAGTACTGAATTAGCTAAAAATATTTCAAAATGCATCGATAATAATCTAGATGCAGCAAATAAATAACATAATTAATTGGTAATTGATAGTCAACAACTGATCGATAATAATTGCTAATTAATAATGACAAATAGCAATAAATAATAACTAATGATAATTACTGATGGATGATAACAATAATTAATAACAATAATTGTTATTAATAATAATCACAACGTGACAGTCGTACATCAAATCATTTTCGATTTTAAGAATGAGGAAAAGTTAGAATTACTATAGATGCATAAAACATTTTCTTGCTTATAATTAGAATCATATAACAAATCGAGTCTGATTATTAACACCTAAGGAAAAAAAAAAGAAAAAAAAATTTTTATTTTTAGTAAAAAAAATTCAAAACTAAGAATTTTTGATGGTAATATTTTAAAACTCCACCTGTATTCGTTTTTTCTTCAAAAAATCAAGTGTTTTATTAAGATTTTCGATTTTCTGCACTCGCATTCGACCTCGATTTGGTTTGCCAAGTTTTTCACCCGAGATAATCTCCAGCAATTTCATTAATAATACACCATCTCCAAGATCCACAAATAAATCGACGATTTCAAGTCGTGCCTAAAAATAATTATTACCAGTACCAATATCATTATCATTATCAGCAGTACTAGTAACATTTAATATTACTACTAGTTATTATCAGTACCAATATCACTATCATTATCAGCAATACTTGTAAGATTTAATATTTCCGATATGATGCAAAATTTTAAAACTATCCAATTTAATTTTTATTTTCGGTTTCGGAACAAAATATTCATACTGTCTGATTGAGTTGAAGTATCATGATAATTAATCGTGGTAATCAGATACTGATATCATCCTAAGGTGACTTATTTTTTTAAAGAAGTAAGAAAATATTTTCATCAATATTCAATATCATATAATCATATGGAATATTATATTATATTTATTATTGTATATTAGTTTCAAGGAAAGCAAAAATCATGCAATTCTAAATGACTCGAAATAATATATTAAATAAAAAAAATAAAACTGCATATTTATAGACTTAATATTAATTTTGTTTATTGAAAAATTAACATTATTTTTAATAACAAATAATAATAAGGATAACGATTTGAATATTCCATTCTCTGATTTTAATTTTGAAATAATGAAATAATTTTTTGGATTAGTCAGCACTTTGGCAATAAAATTATAAACTTTTATCATTCATCATCCCAACAGAAATGATATTTCGCAGAATAATAAATTTTAACTACAATGTTAATAAAACGTAATGTTAGCTTGCTTATGTGATTTTATTCTAACTTTTGCAATTATCACATTAAATTGTTCTCATCGTTGTGGCAAAGCAAAAATATTAATGGCCTCAGAAAGAGGTTTAAAAATAATGCAAAAAAAAATTGATCATAAATATAGTTTAATTTTAGAATTTGGAGAAACTGTTTCTTTGCTTTCTTTTATTATTTATTTCTGTCTTTTTATTTTTTTCCATTTTTCTAACTGCCAATTTTACTAATATTTATTTACAGAATTTCTGTTTACTTTCAGAATCGTTGCATTAAACAGAAATTTCAAGTGAACGGTATACGAAAAATGTGACAAAAGCATTTGAACATTCAAATTAAATCTCAGATATAAGTCGAAAATAAACGATTTTTCATGCAAATTTTGATATATATATATATATAATACAGTGATAAATGCTACCTTATAATAAAAGTGCCAATTTATCAAAAATTTTAAATCATTATTGAATTACTGTAATTTCATACTCTAACTGATGATTTACTATAAAAATGAATCAACTGTTTATATAGATTCACATTTAAATAAGAATTAAAAAGCAAGAAGATCAGCAAGGTAAAAAACATAAAATCGTAAATATAATATAAAATATAATGATATTTTAGTAAAAATCAAAAGTTGTTTTAAAAAACTGAAAATTTTAAAAACTTACTCTGTTAAGAAATGAGTTACACCATTTAGTAAATGTTTTTTTCTGAATGTGTACTCGTTCATCTTGCAACTGTTTAATACGATTTCGTTCAAATGATAACGTTGGATCACTAAATTCATCATAATCATCTGATAAAAATTGTGACTGACTTTTTTCAAACCCATTTTTGTTCACCCGTGGAACTTGAACCTATAAAAAACGATATTACAATGAAATAAATTGGAATTATATCAACAAATAGATGCATTGAACTATTCATTAAATTTATCAAAAGTTGATCGATAATGATTAATTTTAGTTGATAACTTTTAAAAAAAAAAAGGCAAGCATAAATCAAAAATATGTTATATTCAATTGCACTTATTATTTATACTACAAAATATTTATAATTAGCGTTAACAAAAAGAAATAATGAATATACTTGTATTTCATATTTCGGCATTTTCTTCTTTGTTTCAAATGCTTAGCCTTGCTTAAACGATTAAATGCACTTCAATTGCACCATATGTTGGTTAGTTGATCGAACAGCAGGCGAATAGCTTAATCATATTTATGCAAATTTAGTTTTTTTTTTTTTTCTTCGTTTTTTTCTTTCTCTTTCGTTTGTAAATGATCGATTATAAATGAAAGAATTCGAACAATACTAATGAATCATTTCAACTAAGATGAAATAACTGATAAAAATTCGTTAAAATATAAAATCTTAAGGAATAATTTCAAAATTAAAATTTATCATATATTTACTGTTTTAATGCATAAAAAATTCAATAATAGATGAAACAATGGAGTAAAATAATGAATTAATTTGGGACATAATCGTTATGAAATATGATAATATGTGACAATAAACACAGGCAACAGTAAAAGTTATAAGGCATTTAGTGAAAAAGGGTCAAAATCCGTGTAGATGAGGTCAAGGTCCCTGTAAAGCCTTCAATTCACACATATATTGACACACACACACACATACACACACACACACACACACACACACACACACACACACACACACACACACATACACATACACACATACATATATAAACTTTACCTCAAACATTCGTATATATTTAGATATTTATATTATATATAGTAAAAGTCTAATCGTCCGAAAGAAATTCCTTTCGCTTCAACGGCAAACACACATAACATAAATCGTTTATTATTAATTGTATTGATGGTCAATTAGTATTCAGTAATTGGTGCAAAATATAAAATTTAAAATGGTATGTACGGTTTTAACCATTTGTGTTTATTAAACATTCATATATTATTGTTAAAAATAAATCATTTCCATAACATATAAATTGCAAACATATTTATGAGTATATTTTGAGTAATAATAAACATATAATTTAATAATATGAATAATAATGATATTTTTTCTCGAAATTTTCATATGAAACAGTGATAATTTACATAAAGATAAAATGATTATTAAAATCAAAGAAATACATAGATGGAAAAGCGGATAAACTATCTCAAAAATATTTTAATATAATTTTTTCTAAATATTTCATTGAAATTTTAATACTCTGAAAATCTGTCCTAATTGCTGCAATATTTCTCATTAATTCAATGGTATTTGTTAGAAATTTAAGCAATTTACTTCAAATCAATTTAAACAAAAACAAAACATTTGAAATATTTCTTCCGTCATCTGAAATATTCACTAATAAATTATAGAAAAACATCATATGATAGCTAAATGTTATGATTATAATCTTTTATCAACTATATACTACGATACTTTATCATAATCGATCATTTCATGACTCTTTTTATCCCGTTTATTCGAAGGAATATAATAAATCCTTTTTACACAGTTCATTAAACATTTTGAAATCTTTATTAAATGAATGTTCTCAATAATTTGCATCTTTTGTCCTCTCTCAACTATCTATGATTTCCTTCAAAATCTTTTAAAGGTTACAAATTTTGAAATAATGAAAATTGAAAAGTAAAATTAAATTAAAATGTGTAAAATTAAAAAGCATGCTAACATATCAATACACTTGTAAATTTCATAAACTATTCATAAACATTAATGAATATAGCAAATGTACTTTGACCAATAATTTAGGGACCATAGCAGAAAGAATAACTTATGTATTATTTTGAAAAAGACAATAATTATAATTAAACGCTGTTGAGTAGAAGAAAAATGAGTGATAGTAACAGGTCAACTAGTTATCATTTGGGTCAATTAACAAGTTAACAATTATCATTCAGACAACTCTCTTCTAAATTTTAATTCTCCTATCTTCTTTTTTTTAAATTTTCCTCGTCTCTAAACTATTTTTTTTCAATCCATACAACTATATTATTAAAACAAAAAAAAAACATGTAAAGGAAATATTGAAATGTATGTATCATTGAAGATGGATGACCACATTCAAAATAATTTATCTAATGGATGAAAATGTAAGAGCAAACAATTATAAAAAGTAAGCTAACCATACTATACTGATAGCATTAAAGCTTATCTATTGCCACTGTTTATTTCCTAATGGAAAGCATTAAAAATTCATCATTTATATGCATCGATCATTAAAGTGTTTAGAAGTTTAGAAATATTTTATGGCGATAGTTTCATTCAATAACTAAAGTTTAAAGACAGTTTCAATTCAATCATCAAAGTTAAAAAATTGTCTCATTCAAACAATAAAGTTAAAATAAAAATATTCAACATATATCGGAAAGGTACAATTAGCATAATTTATTGAATGAGAATCGTAAATTTACTTAAAAAAATATTGCAGTTGCAACCTTTCATATTCTTTCTAATCCTTCTTTTAAATCTGATTTTAATATCAAATTTACATAAGTAAATCAAGTTTTAAATTCATATGATTTAAAACTTCCGTCCAACTTACGCTCGTTTTCCTCTCTCTCTCTCTCTCTCTCTCTCTCTCTCTCTCTCTCTCTCTCTCTTTTCTATGAAATAAGAATGGAAAACCTTGAAATATATCATATGTAATACGAAGACAATATCTTTCCATACATAATAATATAAAAGAATAAGTGAAAAATCATAAATTAATTTTTCAAAATCGATTTTTTTGAAAGTAAATTAAAATGAATGAAATATGAAAAAAAAAAAAACTATAAAACTATTAAAAGCTAAAGTAAAAATTTATAGCGAATAAAATAAAAATGAAATGAAAACAGCATATTACATTTGAAATCAAATTTCAAAATTCTTTTCTTGACAAAATGACTCATCGAATTACTGCAGCAATTCTTCGTCGTATTGCTAAGCACAAAATGTTGACATTATAAAGCTTATTTGTTTATTCACCATCAAAGATATTTGTATGATTTCGTTACCAATAGATCAATATTTCAAAAACCTTAATAAGAAGCATATTTTGATTTAATGTTTGTATTTACAATTGATTAGTAATATAGGAACTTATACAGGTAGCGAAATTCTATTTTGGATATTTTGAAATGTTGAAATTGAAGTGAATAAAATTAGTATTTTTTGCTTAAATTTATGGAAATTTGAATGGAAATGTAAAAGAAAAACGAAAATGATTTAAGCAAGAAATCATTGAATCGATTACTACTACAATTTACTTTTTACTATTACAACAACAATTGCTACTAGTATACTATTACTACTACATTAAGATCGTACTATCGTACTTATCAATAATCTTTGGGCGAAATGATAAAATAGTGTGATAAGAAGAAAGAATGCATATTTGATTATAAGTCATATCATTCTTCTGATTATTACAGAAATAGTTTATTGATCTGATATTTTTTCCATCCTTTAATTTAACGGTATTTTCACATCCATTGCAAAAATATTTACTAAAACGACAAAAATGGAAATTTATTAATGAGATACCTTTTTTTTCTTCATATAATAAAGGAGAAATTAATTGTTTTGACCAATTTTACTGCTTTATTAAAATACTGTAATTGTTATCAGATAACCAAACTAAACTGAAGAAAAAGTATGTAAGAAGGAAGTAAACAATGAGAGTAATTCATTTAAACTTGTTAAACAAAGCGTACTATTGTTGTAATGGGAATTATTCTTTTACAAGTTAGTTAAATTGCTAACTGATTAATTAATTAATGAGAAAAGATATATGCTATATATGTTCACCTGTAGTATCATCAAGAATAATATCACAGGTAAACATTTGTTTAATAAACCATTGTTTCTGTCCATTTTTAAATAACGTTTAATTTCATTTCATAAATTGCATTATAAAGAAACAAGTAATTAAGAAATAAATCATATTAAGATATTTATATATGAAACTTACTCCATTATTAACTTACATATACATGATTTCTCTATTATAAATCATATAATTGTTATTGAGTTTGTGATTAAAATTATCCATCCATTTACTCTTATTCATATTCTACACGTGTGTTACACGTATACACACGTTACTATACGTGCTTACGTCACTTCTAGTGCGGTGACATGAATGTTTGTATAGAGAATTACAATTTGGAATGAAAAGGGTGGTGGAAGGATGATGGACTGAGTGCAATACAAAAGTACAATACAAGCGCAAAGATGGCAGAATGCGCCTCATTCAGAGAGGACTGTTTGGCTCTCATCGAGGATAACAGTCATCCCTAACCGATCAATCATGCTTCAAACACCTTCCACCCATTTCTGTATTCCCGTATGTATGTATGTGTCTCTGTCTGTCTGCCGTGTATGTGTGTGTATGTGTATGTGTGTCATAAGTTATGACGGATGGTATATGTCTTTACACAGATGTTTTCCTCTAAAAGGTAATGAAAAAATTTAAACGAAGAATTCACATAGCTGAAGAAAATATTTCTCCTTTGACTAAATGCTTATGAATAATAGTAAGGTTACGTGAAGAGATGAAGGGTCACGTAGAAATATTGCATCTCCTTTGACTAAATGCTTATGAATAATAGTAAGGTTACGTGAAGAGATGAAGGGTCACGTAGAAATATTGCATCTCCTTTGACTAAATGCTTATGAATAATAGTAAGGTTACGTGAAGAGATGAAAGGTCACGTAGAAATATTGCATCTCCTTTGACTAAATGCTTATGAATAATAGTAAGGTTACGTGAAGAGATGAAGAGGTCACGTAGAAATATTGCATCTCCTTTGACTAAATGCTTATGAATAATAGTAAGGTTACGTGAAGAGATGAAGGTCACGTAGAAATATTGCATCTCCTTTGACTAAATGCTTATGAATAATAGTAAGGTTACGTGAAGAGATGAAAGGTCACGTAGAAATATTGCATCTCCTTTGACTAAATGCTTATGAATAATAGTAAGGTTACGTGAAGAGATGAAAGGTCACGTAGAAATATTGCATCTCCTTTGACTAAATGCTTATGAATAATAGTAAGGTTACGTGAAGAGATGAAAGGTCACGTAGAAATATTGCATCTCCTTTGACTAAATGCTTATGAATAAT